GCTTTGGTTCCCCCACCCTCAGCAGTGCCCGGCGTGCCCCACGCTTTGGGTCAGGTTGTTGATACCAACCGGCGCCCGTGTTCCTTTGCTGCTTGCGCCCTGCGTGCTACTATGCCCTGGCAAGGTTGGCTGGTGACAGCGTACACTTGTCAGCACCTGTCAAGCTTGTCTGCGTCTGCCTCAGCCATTCTTCGGGGATGGGGGTTGCCTTTGCCACCCTCAGTCTCCTCTCCTGTTTCAGTGCCGGCCTCAGCTGAAGCTCGTGTCGTCCCCAACGCTGCCGCTTCAGGTGCTCGCATCTTCGTGGATGCGGGGCCACTCGCCCGTTGTGTGCCGCTTTTGAGGCCTTGCATCTCCCAGTGCTTCCTGTGGATATTCTGCAGGACTCGCCGTTGGACGTCCTTTCAAATGACGTCTTTGACTGCTTGATCCGGCTTTGCTTCTCAGGCCAGGTGGGCCTCATGCACGCATCCCCTCCTTGCAAAGAGTACTCTCGTCTTAAGCTTAGGCCGGGTGGGCCGAAGGCCATTAGGACCCCCGAGTTCCTAGGGGGGTTGCCCACTAACACGGCCGAGATGCAGTCACGCGTGACTTCCAGTCAAACTTTGCTTCAAAGATGCGTGCAGTTACTCGAATGCGCTTTTGAGGGTGGCGGCCACGGCGACTTAGAACAGCCAACTAATGCCATGAGCTGGCTGGAGGACTTCGTGCAAGCCTTCTTGCTTCGTGTACACGCATACTGCATCTCCACTCCAGCTTGCAGCTGGGGCCTGGACGTTGCCAAAAGTTGGTTGTTCGCTTCCTCCACCTCGCTTCTCACATGTTTGGCAGGGAAGTGTGAGCATCCTCGTGGATCGCATGCTTCGATTGCAGGTGTTCTTGACGCCATTGGCGGCTTCGCTTCTCAACAGACGGCTGTCTATCCTGAAGATTGTGTCAGGCTTACGCCAATGCATGCTCCAGCCTTCTGGCTTCTCCTCAGCCTTGCGCGACTCCACTTTCTCTTGCCTCAGCCCAGGCAGGGGTCTCACCTAAGCCTAAGCTGGGCCCACCTACAGCCACACAGGACGGTGGAGGGATAGCTAGTGTCCCAGACTGGAGTTTTCCTCCTGTGGGGGTGCATGATTGCATGCAAGGCCTTCGCACTAAGCTTCATGCGTGGTTGATGGAGACAAGAATTCCTTGTCGACTCAACGCACTGTTGCAAGGTCAGGAGCTGTCAGGTCTTTTCTCGGCTGAAGAAGTTGCCCATGCACGTGCCTTGTTCTCTGCTTGGCTTTTAGAGCAAGGTCACTCTGGTCAGGTGTCCTGGGAAATTTCTTCGGGCCAACCCTACGCTTTGCATGCTTTGGCAGCATTGAGCAGGTGTCTCAAGGATAGAGACTCTGCTTTGTTCCCTGCTTTGCTTGCCGGTGTGCCGACCGGTTTCGACTCTGACATCCCTGCCAGTGGATGTCTTCTTCCTGCTCCGCCTTCAGAGAGCATGCCTTTGCTTTGGATCTGGCAATCTGTCAAGGTAACTGGCAAGGCGCGGAATCGGACCCAGCCAGCTTGCAAGAGCTCACCCAAGCGGAGGAGGATGCTGGCTTCGTGCGCGAGTTTCCATCTTTGGATGCCGCTCAAGCCCACTTCGGTGCAGACCGTGTTGCAGTGGGCCGGGTGAACATAGTTCACGCACCCGGGAAGAAACCCCGCTTAGTAGTAGATTCTTCGGTTTGCCACACCAATCAGGCATGCAGAGTACCGGAAAAGTCTTGTCTTCCGTCTTTAGGTGACATACGCGCTGCTTTTCCTCTGCGGGAAGACATCGAGGAAGCTTCTGCCTTTTCTGCAGACATTCGTTCCGCCCACAAGACGGTCAGGATTCGCGAGAAGGATCAGGGCCTCTTAGGCTTCCGCCAGCAGGAGCGATTGCTTTTCTACCAGGTGGCCCCCTTTGGAGCGGTGTTCTCCAGTCACTGGTTCGCCAGGGTAGGCGGTTTCTTTGTCAGAGTTCTTCACCAGCTTGTCTTTCTTGCTCATGTGCTCATGCTCTACTCAGATGACCTCTTGCTTTGGCAAAACCGCAAAGTTCTCCCCTTGGGAGCTTCCGTGGTGCTCTGCTTCTTTGCTTGCTTCGGCATTCCCATCAGTTGGCCCAAACTGCAGATGGGCCGCAAGATCACCTGGATAGGATGGGGTTTCCGTCTGCCGAAGGACAAGCGTGAGAAAGCCATTGATCTTTTGCAAGCCTGTTTCTCGGGCCGCCACGTTTCTAAGAAGCATCTCGATAAGGTCTTAGGCCTCATGCAGTGGATATTGCAATGTGCCCCAGAGCTCAGGCCATGGCTTTGCTGTCTGTATGATGACATGCATCGCCCCTTAGGCACCGTTTACAGCGTCGACCCTTCAGACTGGCCGTGCCTTGCTGCTCACCTTTCGGACAATCTTCGGTTTGTCAGCACGCCGCGGGGCACCAGTATACCTGTGGGGTCCACCCTGCTTTCGGCCAGGCACACCGACATCAAGTGCAAAGCTGACCTCCGTCTTGTGCCCATTTCCTCTCGTCGAGTTTGGCTTCGGGTGGCTGATCCTTCATCTTCCAGACGTAAGCTGTCTGAGCCCAGCAGAGAGATGCTACGCTTTCGGCTTTGGTGGTGCAAACACCCTTGACCGTGGCGCCCTTTGGCCTTGCCACCTGTTCTCCCCTTTGAAAGCGCGGCGGATGCCTTTGGGGAGGGCAATGCATGTGGCGTCAGGGGCTGGCTGCGTGTTGGAGCAACCCAGTGCTTCTGGTTCTCAGAGCGCTTCACGCCTGCGGACTTCCGCTCCTTGGGCATTCCAGTCAAGGATGATGCTAACCTTGACATCTCCTCTTATGAGACACTGGCCCAGGGATTCCTCCTGGTCCTTTTGCTTCGGACCATTAGCGGCGGCCGTCTTCGAGTTCGACTCCCTGCACTTAGTGACGATGTAGGGGCTGAAAGCGTCATCAACCGCCTTTACACCAGCAAGCAACCTCTTGCTTTGTTCGTGCAGCGCCTCGCCATGTGGGCGTGCGCGCATGCAGTCTCGCTTGCCTGTTCTCACATTGCAGGCGAGAAGAATGTTGAAGCTGATGCCTTGAGCCGTTGGGATGAGTCATGCCCCATACCTCGTGGCTTTGGTGATGGGGCGCGAGTACGCATCTCCTTGATTTCCTTTTGGCAGGTGCAACTTCAGCCCCAGCTTTTGCCAGCCGACACATTCCTGCAGTGGTGCCTTCCTCAGCAATCAGGCCCATGGCGCTGAAGCAAGGCAGGCAAATCTTGCAGCTTCTTGCTCTCGTGTGCTTCGCACTGCTTCGCGGACAAGCTGGGCCTGTGGGCTCATCTGGTCCTCGAGGTTGGGCGGATTCTCTGCACCTCTGAGGGCAAGCCTGCCCGCTGGTCTTAGCTTAGCTTGTTGCTCAAGACCGTTCGCCACTTTCACACTGGGCAGGTTAGAGGCGGCTTCCTTTTTCTTGGCAACTTCGGACTGGGAATACTGTGATCTGTACAACATAGCCTTCTTTGTGCTTGCTTTGTTTACCATGCTCTTTCTTCCATTCAGGAGGGAGGAGCATACACAGATCCCAGCTGTCTCGCCAAGAAAAAAGGCGCTTCAGTTCGTAGAACGCCTTTGCTGCAGCTTTGCTTTAGCTTTGTCTAGTGGAAGTTCACTACAAGCAATGAATGTTGCATGTGTGTACTCATGTATGTTTCTTGCTTGTGTGCTTGCACTTGGGCTCCAAGCTGCTTGTAACTTCCACAGACACGCTGCTTGGGTGTACTTCGATTTTTCACCCACCCTCCCACTCCTGGAGGCGCGTATCATGTGCTTTAAGCCGTATGTTACGCTGTTGCTTACACTGGGAATATTGTGATCTGTACAACATAGCCTTCTTTGTGCTTGCTTTGTTTACCATGCTCTTTCTTCCATTCAGGAGGGAGGAGCATACACAGATCCCAGCTGTCTCGCCAAGAAAAAAGGAGCTTCAGTTCGTAGAACGCCTTTGCTGCAGCTTTGCTTTAGCTTTGTCTAGTGGAAGTTCACTACAAGCAATGAACGGGTAGAGCAGGGAGAAGAAGAAGAAGCAATGTGGAGTCAGTTGTTCGGTTCCCGTTTTTCATTGTGGGCTACTTGGTAGTTTTGGGGCTTCAAAGCCATTCCCAGCAACAATGCAGCTAAATTCCCGGCTGGGATTTGACACTGGAACCGTGCTGGGCTGCGAGCGTTGCTCACGGAGGACTGCAAGGGTCCTCTGACAGAAGCCCCAAGAAGAAGAGCAATGTGAAAGTGCAGTATGCCCGAGTGCCAGCTCCAGAGGCAGCAAAGACTTGAAGGTGTGCAGGCTTGCCCTCCTGATATGCTCCAATTGTTGGAATTCCCAACAACCCTTGAGCATTGACACGGGCTCTCTTTTCTTTGCCATGCTGCCGTGCCTTTCCTGCGCCTCCGCGGTGTGGACCCGGTCATGCCTGTAAGAGGTGTCGTTCTTCCTCAAAGTCCGAGAGAGAACGGGACAAGTAAAACAGCTTCAGGCTGACGGAGAACAAGGAATGCAATAATTAGGGCCGGGGCGGATTAGTGATGATTGAACAGCGAGAGAGGGGAAACAGATGTAATGTAATGAGTTTGACTGAACGTCGCCGAAACTGACAAGCCTATTGAGAACCCCCATGGTCTTTATCGTGACGCGTGCCCGGACGATGGGAGCCTCGCAGATGCTTCTCAAGGAATGCGTGCTCAATGCAAGTGCCAGATGCCAGATATAGGGCAACTGATCAGCACCTGACAGTACTCTTTAGTAGGCTTGGATCTGAGCACGAACCACCCAAACTGCCATGCCCATGCTACACTCCAATGCTCTGAGCCGACGGCAGCCCTTACGGCGTGCCGCCTATGCTGGCTTGCTTGGTCTGAGTGTGGCCGGCTGCTTCTGCCAGATGCAGCGGCCACCGAGGTCCAGCAAAGTGACACGGCATGGTGCCAAAGACGTGATGGAATCTTTCTACTCTGCAGTGAACAACCGAGATCTTGAGAGGGCGATGGAGATGGTTGCCGACGATGCCCTCTATGAAGATTTTACATTTCAGGAACCTTTCAAAGGGAGGGAGGGCGTCAGAGAGTTGTTGTCAGATGCCATGGAACTGCCAAAGGGCTTGGATTTCGTCATTGATGAAACAGCCGGTGGGGAAGGCTGGGGTGGAGATGATTCCGTGGGGATGACCTGGCACGTAGAGTTTGATGGCGTGCCTTTGCCCAACAGCCGTGGGGCTTCGCTCTACAAGACGCAAGGTGGGAAGCTGGTCTATGCTCGCGCCTCGCCTTATAATGAGTCATTTTTACAAAATTTTGCAGGGTTAGCAGCTTGGAGCCTTCCGTGCTGATGCCTACTGCAGCGAGGTGACATCGTGGAATCACCGCTGAAACTGGGAGGTGCGGCGCTGGGCATCGTCGGCTTCATTGCACCCATCATCAGGCCTCAGGATAGCCAGCCGATTCCAGTCAAACATCAAGTCTAGCGATGGATACTGTCCCAACACCCAGCCTCTTGTAGTGTGGCCTTGAGTGCGGGTAGCACCATGACGGATGGAAGAATGCATAAAGGGAGGGATCTTAGTCTGCAAGTTCTGTTCTCTTCGCTTTTTGACAAGCAACTTCCCGCATCCTTAAGACATGTGAAAGGGTTTCTCCACGAAGAAAGGGCCTTGCAGCGTGGGTCGCTGGGCGACTTGGCACCAGCACTGGTGTTCGCTACAGCCGGGGCCTTGTATTGGCCACCTGGAAAGGTTTAAAAGGAGCATCTTTGGCCTTTGAATGCGTTCAAACCTAGAGTCTAGCTGATCGCATGCTGTATCATGAGATTGGGGCGGCTGTTTCAGCACACTCATGACCTGCATCGCACATCAAGATATAACAAGCTGTCTCTTGCGAGAAATCTTTGCCTCGGACCAGCATCGACTACGCAAAAGTGAAGAGATTAGGCTTTCGATTTGCGAGGCTCGGGTTGCTCGCGGGGTCTTACATTGCGCCTGTTCATTGAGGTATATCTTGCTCCTCTCGCCCCAGGGCCAGTTCTCATTTCTGGGAGGCCCGCCAGCCTGGGCGATAGATGAGACAACGCTGAGGAATGTTGTCGTGCCTTGGACATGGCCTGTTTTAAGACGAGCCACGCATACAGTTGAGGCTACACGTCAGACCTGAGGATGAATCATTGAACTTTTTCTACATCTGGCCCGGCCTGGATAGCATTGGTCTGCCAAGCCCCACCAGCCTCGGCATTCCGCTGCCCAGTGTGGACCCACTTCGCCTGGCTGCTTGCCTTCACAGAGCTAGAGTGCAGCTCTCTTCGGTTCCCAGCCTGGTGGACATGTCATGATCACTTCGCGGTTTGCCCTGAGGCTTTGTTCAACCTTGCCGCGCCTTGCCAATGAGGTTGACAGTGTAGCTGATATAAATAGTTTAGGAAGAGGGCACGCGAGGCTGGCATGTTTTTGCTTGATCTAAGGAAGCTTATGCTTTCATGCTGCTGCCCCTCCTCCTGTGGGACCGGCCAAAACGACAAGATGTTTACAACTGGTGGGCGCCTGCCATGTTTCTGACCAACGCGTTGCCAGACTTCACTTTGAAACAGTCATATGTTCAGAGTTGAGAGCTCCATGGCTCATTTTCCTTGCCGAGTCTGCATGGTCGAAAACTCAGGATTCTGCTCCCATACTTCACAGTGCGTGCTATTGCCACTTGGCAGACACTACACTTGAGACTCTTGAGTCTTGAAACTGTGACATGTGCTAGTAGGTGGTGGTTAGTATCTGAGGCCGGACCATCGCCCGTCTCCAAGGCTAAGCCCAGTTGGGCGTGACGTGGCAGGTTAAGACAGCTGAAGTGTTGATTCGCCATGCAACGCTGTGTTGACCGCACCTGTCAACCTGAAATCCGCAAGTGCCAAGTTCTCCCTCTGCACCCACAACTGAGCTGAGTCCTCTTGTGGGCCTCAGTGCCCTGCTGGTGGCCTTTGTGGCGCTTTCGCAATCCTGGGGGTTGTGGGCCCCTGGTCTTGGAAGAACGCTCCAGGTTTTGGTCCATTACACAAGTGCCAGAAAACATGGAATCATGCTCCAAGTTGAGCGGTTCCTCTGCTTTAGATCTTCCGTGTGCATCAGCTTCACATTTGAGGGCTGCCAGCCACTGTTAGCTAAGGGCAACTTCTTGCCTTTGGTGTTGGGAGACCGCGTCGCCTTTGCTTTTGCAGTGGACTGTTCACTTTTCGCTGTGTTGCAAGCGAAGCTTGGCTGGAGAAAGTAGCAAGCTGTGCCAGCTAGCTTGTTGGATGCTTGATGGTCGACGTGCTGAAAAAAAGACGGAGTGAAGGTATGTGTTTGCGGAGACCGCCGGTCCGTCCTGGCGCTTTGTGCCATGGACGCACATTTCCGTCTCAGAGTCCTCAGATGTTCCTCACGACCTGGCTACTTGAGAGGTGCCCTTCTTTGGTTTGGCCGCTTGGCTCCTGTTGCCCTCGGATGAGGCCCAGAGCTGGGTGAATGTTAGAAAGCCGTTGCTCAACCGCTTGCCACCAGGAAGTGGCGCAACAAGAGGCTGAGGTTGCCCCTGCGTGAGCAGTTTGAGCGGAGGAGAGGCTCCAGCTGCGGATCGGGTCGGTGCAGTCGCTGAGGCAATTCTTTGTGCAGACTCGATGGGTTTTCGTATGTGTAGTGTGGATTTAGGTTGAAATGGTTTGAGCTTTGCGTGGCACAAATCCGCTGTTGTAAATTTTCGTGGCAGCTGCCCTTGTTTCCCGGCTTCCAGCAGATTTTCATTGCACTCATGGCTGCGCAGCCTGAGCGCAAAATTTTCTGAGACTCATGCAAGCATGCGCCTGAACGACAAATCAGCTGCCCGAGCTGTGTGGGTATGCATTTGCCGGCCGCAAGCATGGATGAGAGCATGGCCAAGAATCATAGTACAAGTGCCAGCGAGCTACCTTGCTTGCAAGGCCCGTGCAAGCTGGCATTACCAGGTTGACGTGATTGACATGAAGAAGCAGGCGATTTGTAGCTGGTAGCTGGCTGCGTTGCACCAGACCAAAGCATTTCGCAGATCAGGGTACTGGACTGCAGTATTCATCGACTGCACAGGTTGTGCTCTGCTCTGGGAGCATCTCCGTGCAGGAGGATTGCTCATCACCGCCAGCATGTATATCGTCGTTTTTGCCATGCAAGCGAATTCCCTTCTCTGCATATGTGTGCTTTGTCACCTGTTGGGACCACGATGTACCTGATCAAGCCCAGCTTTGTGAGAGTGAGTCTTGCTGACAGATACTGGATGACATTTGCCGCACCGAGGGGTCGTGTGCTTACTTACCATACCGAGGCATAAAATCTACGACGGCAGGATGGAACAGGACAAGTTCAGAACGGGGTTGTTAATTTCTTCCTGAAACTCTGAGGCGGTGTGAAGTCACTCAGTACACCATCCGCGAAAAGTTGGAGGCGCTGCAGTTTTGCGCTGTTTTGCTTGCGGGGCACCTAAAGCAGTTTAGACTGAACTGCCCAGCAGCGTGATGGCATGCCCCATGCAACATTGGATCACCTCCAAAGCCAGGAGTCGAAATCCCTGCTGCAGAAGCCTTCGACCCCTGACCCATTCGCAGATGAAGTCAGGCGCGTTTTTGCAGAAGTTGGGCATGGCCCAAAGCCAAAGCCGTGGCTTGAGCAGGTGTGGATCTGTCCTCCGAAGAATTGCGCTGAAGCAGCTGGACAAACCATACAAGCCTGCACTGGAGCGCTGGGGATGCACTGCAGGGATGCGCGGTAGTGGAGTTGCATCCTTGATGGTGCTTCAGGGCCTTGTCATCTTCATGTCATCAAGTTGGCTAAAGCTGTCAGGATTTGCAGGGAAACCTGTAAAGAATGTAATGATGTGTAAATGAGAGTCCAGGAGAACTCTTTTGAGAATATGTTGCACGACACTTGAGATTGATCTGAGGTTCTATTCTGTTACAGGGACCGGGCACCTCTTCGCAGCAACCCCTGGATCCTGTCAGGATCAGGCAGAAGCAGACGCGGAAAACCCCAAGCCCAAGCGCCAGCAGGCAGCGGTGGCTACGCTCGCATCAACTCTTGTGGGTTTCCCACAACTGGAGTATACGGTTATGAGGGCTATATAGGGGCTTATATTGGGGATATTTAGGGGATATAGAGAGGATATTAATATGGTATTTGGGGTGTACAACTTGAATTCCTTACTCATGTCATGTGCTCTTCTTGCAGATGGGAGAAGCCATCGGAAGTGCTCTGGTCACCCTGGGACTGCGGAACAGCACCGCAAGGGTCGATCGAGGCCTGAAGGGCTTCACTGTCACTTCGCTTGGAGACATGGTGCCAGTCTGAGTTTGGCAGATTGCCAGGCACAGACGACATGGAGCTGTACGTGCGTTTCCAGGCAAACATCCCAGTTTCTGCTCGGGATGCCGAGCCTCCAATGCATGCCGCACCTACAGGTATAGCCATTAACGACACACAGCAGAGCTGCAGAAATTGGTCACCAAGTTTCCGCCCATCGCATCAGGTAGTCTCTCGTTGGAAAGGTCTGGCCCGTGGGTTGGGACCTCAGAGATCCTCAGTCTGGAAAAATCGGGGGACCCCAATATACAGCCCCTAAATACCATGCATCCCTATTTACATCCCTCTATATGTCCCCTATATAACTGTATCCCTTACATTATGGTTTTGGGAAACCCCCAGGTTGGGGTCCACTTTGCAGCCGACCTCAGGAGCCGCAGCCCACCTTCAGTGCCTATGCAAGCACCGTCGCCCGTCAGGCAACACGCCTACATTATGGTACAACAGCATTATGAATAGCCGTGGTCATAGTGGTAGTGGTAGTGGCAGTAGTAGTGGTGGTGGTCGTAGTGGTGGTTGTAGTAGTGGAATAAAAATACCCAGATAATTGTAATACACCCAGTAGCTCATGACGACATCTGCACAATTTGTGCGACAGCAAGCGTGCCAACACATATCGAGAGGTAGCCTTTAAGATCCTGCATTGTCCTGCTGCTTAAGAAAGTTCGCAGGTGCATTGCGACTTTGGCGCCTGGTGACTCAGACAGCTCGCAATGCATTTCCAACTTCCTCCCCGCAACGGTTCTCCTGCAGAACATGTTTGCACCATCAGCTTGCATGCTTTCAGCGTGGGCAGCAGCACTGAGGAATTCAATTGTTGCCGGCTACGAGGCATGAATACGTGTGCCTGCGAGTTAGCCGAGTCACTAGTAATCTTGGCATTTTTGCCTCTCCATTCACGGTCATGTCGACACCAAGCTCCTTGGAAGGTCGCAGCATGCCATGTCTTGTGATCGAAGCATGAAACGATCCCAAGACCAGATGTGTGCAGGATGGCAATGTCTTCGTCTGGGATGCGTCCGGGCAATCCAGTCCTCTGCATCAGTTTCAGGCGTCAACGGTGCCTTTGGTTTTGGAAAGGGGTTTGGTTGGTGCGGCCTTTTAGGCTTTTTGGCCCACATTTTGCTGTTCGATGTGGCACTGCCCACCGCTTCGGCTCATGCTCCAAGATCTTCAGTGCAAGCTGACAACGCGTCACCTTGGCCAGGCGCATGCCGTTCCTGTCACTGCCATTGCCGTCCTGCCACCACTGGGCTGTGTCGCCAGCTCAACTTGCATAAATCGTGTGTGGTTTTACATGTGCATTCCTTTTCCGGCGGCCGCCATCATTGCACGGCAGCGCAGCAGCCTGCTGAAGGTCGTCACTGCGGGTGAGGTTCGCAATGGCCTGGAGGCTCTCTTTCTCCTCGCAAACAAGTGCAGCCCGTGAACAGAGAAGAAAGGAAGCCACAGTTACATTCAGTGACAGGCTGCTCTCTTTGCGCTGTCAGAACCATTGTGCCAGTCTCATCTGTCGAGGCTTTCTCTGAATCTCGGATCCGTCTGTGGAGCACTGTGACACTCGAATTGCGTCAGTCAGTGCTTCTTGGCAAAGTCAGAGATGTCCGATGTGGGTTCTTGGCATGTTCTCAGCAGGTGCTGAGTTTGAAGTCATGCGTAAAATCCTCTGAGCCTTATCTCTTGTTGAAAGCAATGGCTTGGTTTTCGACTGATGCTCCGGGCTGATCTGGTGTGCTCTCTGATTGAAGCGACCATATGGCATCTAGCTTGTGCAGACACGAGGTCGTTGAACGGATCTGTGGCACGAGTATTGCGTCCTTTGGACGTTGACTCAGTGCACCTCCATGGTGCTAGCATGCAGGAAAGCTGCGACAAAGAAGATCATGCACCGCTAGCTGCTAGCTTTCCAGACAAGCCTATCAGCTTGCGATCTTGCGCGCAAAGCTTGCGAACATGTCCATGTGCAAGGTGTTGGGTGCCGCAATCGAAGACATCATGCAGGCGGCGGAGGCAGCAGGTCCGGGGCTTTCTGCAGCCTCTCCGTCGCCTGAAGCCGTAATGCCATTTGCTCTCACCTCAACTCAGGTCGCTCCATCGAGAAGAGGGAAAAGGTGCATTCGCTGTGTTGCTCCATTCTAGATTGTAGACACCGACCATGCGCAAACACTTTGCCTTCGCAGCGGAAACAGCCAACACTTGACAGCCACGACAGCTGCATCACTTGGTGCGAAGGTGGTCCCTCCATGCCTGGCAGTTGGCACTGACTCAAGGTGCTCCAGCGCAGTGGAGCCAAGTGTGTTTCTTATTGTAGCTATTTTAGCTAGGCAGCTGAACCTAGAATTCAGGCTAGCACCATTGTGATTCTGATGGCCAGGCAGTTGAAACAGGTGCGGCTGATGCGCGTCAGCCTGGATATGGCCAAGAAGTGACACCCTGGCCAGAGGCAGGGAAGGACTTGGCTCTGACCATGCCCTCGCAGAGCTTTTGAAGGAAGAATAGCTATGAAGTTCCCATAGCTTCTCTTTGGGAGTGCTCCTTCCCTTCTAGGGATTGAGGGCTGTGACCCAGAATTCCAGCAGTCTCTTGGCATGTGGTTGCGCTTGTGGCAGGCCAAACACAAGTGGGCGGGACCAGTCGGGTCTGAGCTTTGCATCCACAAGATGTAGGTAGAAAGTCGGTGGCGCGGCAGACAAGTAGAACATAACACCGTGCATGCGCTGCAGAATTACACCGCGCAGACCTTGTTGTCAGTGCAGCCTGGCAGTTGGAATGGTTGTAATCCTTCTTACGCCGTGCTCCCGGAGTCTAGATTTGTGAGGATGCCATGGTTGTCTCACATGTCTACAAAATTTTAACCCACAATTCGTCACGAAATCCGTCGCTGAGCATCGGTCTCAGTCCCAAGAACTGCCGGAGCCAGCTGACTGCATGCTTGACATTTACAGCAGGAAGCTCAAAGAACAAACGGGATGCACTGTCACGCAACTGCAGCACTTCTTGCTGACACTGCGGCTGAAGTCGCTTCGTGTCGCGATACGATTCGCAGCTGCAATTCGATTCCTGGAATTCAGCTGGCTTTGTGGGGATTCCAAGGCCACATCAAGGAGAATGGGTTACTAAGGGTGCGGGGCTCTGTCCTTTGACTACAGTCACATAAGCCGCTGGCCACGCTCTCTTGTGCAGCGCACCACTTCCACGGCAACAGCTCATGTCCTTCTGACTGAAGACCCGCCATTGTAGCATGCGTTAGCGGGGCTGCAAAAGACAGCCGCTGCACGGTATGGAGTCTCCGCCCACGCGGTGGCGTAGTGCCAAACCTAGCAACTATCTGCGCTTAGGCAGTGAATCAGAGCTTTGACACGGCTGAGGCTGCGAACATCGCTGGCACCCCACATGGATGCGGTCATGGAGGCCCTGGTACAGCAATATCTAGGACGCCTTAATTTATAACAGCCTTCCCGTGGGCATTTTCATCTGCCAGGTTGTGCTAGAGGCTGCTCAAGATGATGATCAGAGGCCCACTGAGGTGCGGTAAAGTTGTGGCACAGCAGCATACGTGCAGTTTGAGCCCACTCAAGCAGGTGCCGGTGCACTTTGTGGTGGTTACAAACGAGCCAGGCCACCAGCGATCTTGCTTGTTACTTTCAGCAACATCCTGGCATGCCATGCAAGCCTAGCACAACATAAATTGCAAGGAGCACATGCCGACGTGGTGACGAAGGTGCAGCCTGGATGAAAGGTTACGTAGCGTGGTCAGATGATGATCCGCGCTCGCAGTTGCAGAGTAAGGCAGACACACATTATCGAGCCTTTGGTGAAGCGGCAGATTCTGCTGGAGGTGCGGCAAACTTCCATTTGCAAGTTCCTGGTTGATTTTTCACGCAGTGCCTGGTGACCAGTCTCGGATACTCGATGCCACGCCGCCCTCCTTCATTGCGCAGGCTTCATCTTAGGCTGCTTTGTCTTCAGCATGGCAGATATGCATTACAACAAGAAGAGCTTTCTCACAGTCAAGATGTAGAAGCAATCTTTCTGTTGGGCTTGCTCTCCTGCTAGAGTTTGTTAGATCTCATCAGGCTGCGACTCTGGTGGTCTTCGAGTTTGCCGGAACCCTACAGACCAGTTCTTGCATAAGCGGCTTTTCGGAATTGCAGCACCAAACGGCAAGGGTTTTGTATTGCTTTCACTTCCAATCACTGGGGAAAGGTGGTGCCCTGCCCATGGCCTATCACGGACTGGGACGTGCAGGAACTGCCTGCCTCCTTTTGTTGGAAGTGATGTGTGCCAATGTGTGCTGTAATGTTCTCCTGCAGGGCTGGCGTCGGCGCCTGGGTGCCGGCCTTCAACTTGTGGTGGCACCGGGCCAAAGCCAGAGGAGAGGCTCTGTTCGGAGACACTGCGCTTGCAGCAAAGTGATTCCAAATGGTATTGCATGTGCAGGTTTTTATACATAAGCAACTGCACATGCAAGATCAGCCGGAATGACTTTACTTCGTTTCGGAGTCCTTCAGGGTGCAGTTTTTGTTGCGGGAGTATGAGCGGCAAGCTTGTAAGGAGCTCCGGAGATGGGCAAGAGCAAGCGGCAAAGACTGCGCTTGCGAGAGTGACTCTGCTAAGACATGTTCACTCGTGGCTTGAGGAAATTCTAGTTACTTACGTGGCCATTCTTTGGGCTCGCGAAGACTCAACAGCCATTGCCGTGAATTCCTGAACGCCTTGCCTGACGTTTTGCCAGGCCATGATCCTCCCTCCAGCCCGCCAACCAAAGGAGGCCAGCAATCAATAGCGGAGTTAGCGGCCAGCTCGCTCTTGACTGAGAAAGTGTGGCGCTGAGGCCCGTGTGAAGCCGCAAGGCATTTTTGCCGGCAGCTGCTGCTCGGCGCAGCTGGTGGATTGCAGGGCCCGAGGCATGCGCGTTCCTGAGTAGGCACACTGCGTCAGATAAGGTGTGGAAAGGGTAAAGAAGGGCCAGGACGATGCACTTGTTCCTGTGATTTTCTGCAAAGGCTGCTAGTTGCCGTGCTCAACGCTCACAGCTGCAAGCAGGAGAGACATGTCATCCCCGCCGACCTGAGTGGGCAGCCATACCTGGCCGTTGTAGAATTCTGAGAAACACTTAGCTAATTTGAAATCTGGTGGAGCTCCAGTGGTCCAGAGCTTGCCTCATGTCACTGGCGTCAGCTTCATGATCCAAGTCAATTGATGTGGGCCACATGGTCTCCAGTTCGAGCAGTATGCGCTGATTTCTGAGGTAGACGAGTCATCCGGAAGAAGGCTTCGCCTGTCTTCTGCTTGGGCCCCTGCCTGCTGCGGTCAACTAAGCCCGAGCCGGCTGAGCCGCTGAACAAGTCTGGCTATGTCTGGCTGTAGTAGTGACATGTAAACAGACATATCATACCCCTAATCCCAATTTTAATATATCAACATCATGGTTTCCATTTTCTTTTCCATATCCCCTACAATTATACCCCTAAAGGAGGAAGGCGACTGGTCGCGCACCACGCTGCTCAGCCCGCTCATGGCTGCGGCGCTGGTAGAACATCTGCCGGCGCGAGGGGGGATGCACGAGGGATAAGACTGAATTATTTTTGCAGTCATCGTTCACATCCCTCCAGTCTGAGATAGGTGTTAGAACGTGCTCTGCCAGGTGTTTTAGGAATCTGTCAATATGCATTAATTAACTGTCCCAGCTTATCGGTCACGTCCGACATTCCCTTGTGGCTCAAAGGCATTGTCCTACGAGGCACGTATCCCGTAGGCATGGCATCGTCAAAGTTTGGCGTCCTTGCTGTGCCTCGCCTAAGGGTCCTGTAGCCAGACAGGAGCCCAAGTATCAGCCACCTGAAGCATAGGAAGTGGAGAGTTGCTACTTGTCCGAGGCCTGCTGCTTGGGGGCTTTTGTGTGGTCCTCCTATGGCCAGCTCTTTGCCGTGAGCGACCTGACCAGCACAGCTTCCTCGCTTGAGACGCAGGCATCTCTGAGACTTTGCATGCCAAGAAAGCAAGAAGCCTTGACTTGTGATTCTTCTTTTGCGAAGGCTTCGGGCATGCTTGCGGCACTTCAGAATGGTGTGGCTACAGTTTTGCTCATTGTTTTCAGCATCTTGGTCCGACTCATACATGCAATGATCCCTGGAATGGCGATTGCCCTTGTCTGCTATACGGCCTACCGGCTCACAAAATCCAACGCGTGGAGTCGCCGTACCGTTTTTCTGCTCACGCTGGCTGTGTTCCTGACCTATGGCTTGATCCGACTGGGGAGCAAGATGGGCCAGCCACAGGTTGGTTAAAAGATGTGGCATGTTGCGATTGAAGCTTGCATCAGATGCCCTTGCTTCGACTGCGACAGGTGGGCGATGGAATGGTCAACACGGATGAGACAGGCAGACAGATTCGCAGCGGCGAGCTGGTGTTGCTCCAGAGTGGAGAGGCGTCGGCGAGTCATTTTTTGTATCAAGCCTACAGTCTACCACTTTGGTGTGGATTTTTGTGCTGATACAGGTGGGCCTCCAGGCACACCCCCAGAGAGATCCGGGCTCAGTGGTCCCAAGAGACTGGAGGGATTACATGGCCCAGGCAATTCAGCAATCGTCACTCGGAGTTGAAGATTTGAGCTCTTCTTGTCCGTTGAATAATTTCTGACTTGCCTTTCGTTCTGAGCTCCTGCAGCAGAGGCTGATGACAGGCAGCGCGCAGGTCGTGCTCGAGTTTACACGTCCAGGATGCACCTACTGCCACAAGCAGCTGCCGGTTTTGCAGGAGGCTGTAAAGAGGAGAGCCTCAGCCACAGGTGCCCTTGCGCCTGGTTTGGCCTTTGCCGCGCCCTCTCCTAGCAGTGGCAGCATGCTTTTTGCACCACTTCGCATCTTCATCCTCGATGAGGAGGAATTCCAGGAGCTAGCAGCTGGCTTCAGAGTCCAGGCTTTCCCCACTCTTTGGATCTTTGGCCGGCCCAGAGTTGATCCTGTTGTGCAACAGGGCTTTGTCGACGGAGCCACGTTTGATGAGATTTTGAGACAAGTTGCTTTGAAGATTCCGCCACCAGAAGAGCCGCAGAAGAAGCGAAGGGGTTGGTTCCGGTAGGCCAGCGAGGCCTAAGATATACATCTAGTCCGTCAGTGCCAGCCCTTTCGTTCAGGCGGAGAGAGCCTTAAATTTTGGCTGCGTCTCTTGCACACGATGGCCGTAGACTTGCAGCAGCAAGCGGAAAGCTTGCAGAACTGCAGGTGCAGGTGTGCAGAATGCAGCTATTGACTCGAACGCACCTCGGTGCCGACAGTCCCTGCGCGCTGAAACGCAGAAAGGAGCCAGAAGGACAAGTCTGATGTTTGGATGCTAAAGCATGAAGCCTCGGTTCACATCTGCAATCTGCGAGGCATCGTTGCAGTGGAAAACTGCTTGGCGACTCATTTACTCACCACGCTCACTTCTCAGAATGCTTAGCTAGGCCAGGCAAGACGGAGAATATGGTTTTTGTTGTCCCTGTGTTGCGGAGGTTTGCACGGCGTATCGTTGAAGACCTTCTACCGAAGAATGCAAGGGGAAGGTCCCACAATACTGCTACTTCAGGAGCGCTGTGAGCTGCGAAAAGACATGAATCTAGTCGCAGACGTGAACGCCATGCCAGTCCGTGTGAACTGTTACGAAGATTTTCTGGAGCGAGGCTGTGGCATAGAATCAACAACCAAAAATCAGCTGCATTCGCTGCACGACCTCCGATGGTTTCCAACCACCACTTTCTCAGATCTCTCGTTTGCACGTTTGTTGTGACTGGGCTGTGAAGCAGCAGTTGAGCATAGCTGAACCCAACACCACTAGACACACACCCTTATCCGAAGAGCCTGATGACAGCAGCTCAGCAGGACCACGAGGGACACGCCTTTGGGGGCTTCGCCTCTGCCGCGTGGAGAGTGGCTGACAGGCCTAATGGCTTTCAAAAATCATTTCATCACTGTTGGGTTCCTATAGTGGTGCTTCCTACATCACATGATCTAGCCTAGCATATTAGTCATCAAAGCATTTGCTAGGTTCTCCCATTAAAAGCAAAAGCACGGACCCGTAGGCAACTTGGAGTTCTAGAGTTTAGGTCTGTAATTTAATTTACGCTTCTAGGCCTTAGAGCTTTGAGGTTCTAGGGTCTAAGGTTTGGGGTTGGTTGTAGGGTTTGGTGTTGTGGAGCTTAGAGTCATTGCCTGGTACTCAACACAAAATGCGCCAAGAAAGGTGCGAATAGATGTCCCTTACGTGCGGCAAGCGCTGTTAGATCATTCAGATTAACATGTGCTAAGGGATGAGATAGAGATCCAAGAGGTCTCGAGTCTAATTACCCGAGACGTAGACGTGCATTTCCAACTCAATACCAGGAACTTGAACTAAAGCAGTGCAGAACTTGGTGGCGTGCTGGCCATTCCTGACCACCCCGAGATACTACGGCACTGGCGAGAGCTTCGTGTTCCGCTTCAGGCCCGATACTGCATACATGTATATGCTCAGGGTTTTCCTACCCAAAAGATAACCGTCATGTCAAGACTTGCTGTGCAGGCATCCAATGCCAAAGCCGGTTGTGTCACTGGCGCAGCAGCGGCAGACTTACTCCGTTTCCTCATGTGCTCATGCGCGTTTAGTTCTAGATTCTAGTCCCCTAGTTGGCTTTGGCCATTGTGGTGTTCAATGCTAGAGCTGCATGTGGAGTTCCTGGTCTGCAAAGTTTGGGACGTCAGAAGCATTGCCTCCGAGGATGCAGCATCTGCCAAGCGTGCACGAGAAGGATGCATCGCCAGGCACATATCCAGAGTTGGCGTAGCGTGCGGATTGGGATGCCTGCTGGCTATGAGCCACAGTCATCCACAGCCTTCGCTGCTTGAGCACCACATCAATGGATTGTCACGTCGGAGGCCTCAGCCGGTCTGCGCTTGCAGCGCAGCAAGCTGTGGACGAGGCATGACAGAAAGAGTGGGCACATGGGGGCACTTGTCACAGCGCGAACAGACGGGGCACCCCGCCCCGTCAACTCTGACTATCCTCGTGGTCAGGCTGTGAAGCTCTTGGAGTCTTGGCGCCCCAAGGTGCGCAGGGTGACAGGCACTTCCTGAGGCGTCATGGAGCATGCAAAGCATGCCATCAGAGCAAGGTCGTGTCGTTCCTCAAGACCTCAGAGCAAATGGAACTGGCCTAAGCTTTCCAGGTCAAGGAGCAAGCAAAGAAGTCGGAGCGAGAGGCCAGGCAAGTGTCTGCCTGCGCGCAGCTTCGCCTCGAGAACTGGCCAGCCCCAGGTATTGCAGAGTGACTGTGTCACTTCAGCGACGGAGGTCTGCGCTGGGACATCACCAGCGTGAGCTGTGGTTGTTAAATAAAGGGCTTCCATCATTTTGGGACAGCTTGTGCTAAAGCGATTGCCTTGATTGCTAGACGTTGTTTTACGCAGCAGCAGTTCCAAAATGAAGGCTTCGTGCCCTTTTTCGGCTTCACCTCTGGCATCTTTCGGGCTTGACTGGAAGGGAAGCAGGGCCCATGATCTGGCATATGCTATGTGCTCCCTGAAACCTCACTGAACCTTTTAGTAGCAGACGCCTCCTTCATGGGGGCATCCTCGAGGCCCTTGATGAAATCCTTGGGGCCGGGGCCTTGTCGTTGGAGCCGCCCCCCCGCGGTCCCGTGGCTACAAGTGACCCCGAGGCCAAGATCCTAGGTTTTGAATGTTTGAAGCTCAGAATCAAAGTGACATGTTTCAGGAGGGGCTGATAGCTTGGCAGCATAGGGCATCCACAGCTTGCAATCATGCCGTCATTGTGCATTAGGACGCCGGGCAAACATGGAAATGGAATGGTGTGCAACAGGACGACAGCTTTGTCCTGCTCAAAACACGTTGTAAGTCAGGCTAGCAGTCCTTCAGTAAGCTTCCTCGCCGAGCTGCGGCATTAACACATTGTTGGCTCACGACGCATGTCTGATTGCTATCGCAGTGCGGTCTGCAGTTCAACCCCCTGGCTGCAGGTCCTAAGTCTTAAGCCGGCCCTCAACAGAAAACGTGAAGGGACGGTCGCCCCAAGCTGCCATTCGCGAGCAACAAATGTTGCGATCGTTTACAACAGTTTGCATGCCGGAGTTTGAAAAGCGTTTACTTTTTCCCAAATTGGGTCCAATATGGGCCCTTCTCTGTCTGTGCAGGCCCTTGAAGAGGAGTCTCCGAAGGACTTCGTGCAGCTTCAGAATCAGCCACTAAGCACCTTCCCAAAGCGAGGAACGCTTGCTTTATTCATGGGTTGAACGAACGCTGAATTTGTGCAGCAACCTATATACAGTCAAGAAGCGTGCCGTGAATCAAGCTGCGTCCCGCGCTGGGCTTCTCGCAGGATCTGGAATTGGAGGCCCCTGCATTCGTTTGCACGATCCGATAGGCAACTCGTTTGTGAGCAGTGGCTGGAACAATTGCGTGGCACAATGCAGCAAGCCAGCCAAAGCCTTTGCAGACCTACGTGTTTTGTACGTGCAGCCTGTGATGCCGTGCATGGTTGATGCCGTTGCTGCATGTTGTGGCTTGGAGGAAGCATCTTGAAACTCAGCTAGCCGTTCCTTTGCTTCGCAAAGGCAATAGGATGGATTCAAAACTCGCATCTGACCGGAAGGTCTTTCATCACGATGCCTCTGGGGATGACTTCTTCCTCTTCTCCGATGTGACGTGCGTGCTCCAGGGAGTCTCTGGAAGAAGATCCTGCAAGCATGGTTCTCAGGTGTTTGGCCATGGGCGGTGGCTCTGGCTTTGCGCTGTATGTCGAAAAGGCCGGATCAGCTACAAGAACTCTTCGTAGCTTCCCAAAGCCAGCCCGTCATTTCGTGCTGCGAAGTCACGGCCAGGACTTGCTACATGGAAGGAGCGATCCTTCCACCACGTTCAACTCCGAGGTCCCTGATGCTGGGGTTTGGGATAGTCGGGATACTGAAACAATGTGGGGGATGCAGGTGCTCTCTTGCGAGACAAGCTTTATCATCGGAGACCTCGAGCTGGCACCCTCAGAGTGAGCAGCTTCGCGTGTGATTGTTGTTCTGGTCTTGCCAGCCCCCTCTGTCACGTTCGTTAGGTGCTGGGCTTTTGATGACCCCACAGAGGCCCGCGTGTAACGCATGGGTTCTTTATCGTGTACCTGTGTGCAAGCCAGCGTACAGCGAGAGAGCATATGTCATGAGCCCAGTGCTGAGATGCCGCAATGCAATCAAACACTTCTCGTCTTGGGAGAACGGGGTCATGGTTACACGCTCGTTTGAGGAGTGGCCTTTGAGTGCAGAAGGATGATTGTAGAATGCAATAGCAGGCATCTTTGAGAGAAGAGAAGATGCTGTCCTGGCTGTTGCAGCTACTGAAAGCTTGTTTATATCACCCGACATACCACCAGAGCATGAAGCTGAGCTCTATCTGAAAGCACTTTGGCAGGTTCATTAAGCGGCGCACCGCTGGGTGCTGCGATTCCCGATTCAGTGCACAGTTTTCCGAAGCCAAAGCAAAGCTTCGAGCGCTGAGAGCAAAAGGTGGAGACATGCGGTGGTAGAAAGCACAAGATGCATGAAGCTGAAGCTTTTGTTGAGTTCAAGCTGTTCAGTCAATTGAGTCACGTGGAATCAGAGGCTCAAGATATTGCTCTGCATTGAGCAGCTGTCCCCAAGCAATAGCCCTTTGGTCACAAGGATAAGACTGACCGCCAGGAGAGAATAGCCTAGACAGAGGGAATTCTACCATGGATCTTGCTTTCAATGCAATGGAACCTCCAGAACAAACGCCCCAGTCATAGGACTGTTGGCACATGGACACCAGCCTTGAATCCGTATCTAGCGCTCCTCAGCATCGTTTTGTAGAGCAGTCATGGGTGCAAACAACTCCAATGCAACGATGCCCGCGGAGCGCTTCGCAAAAGGAGTGCCCGAGTCGCTGGACTGGGCTTCCCTGATGACGGTGCTTTTCCAGCCTTGTCACCAGGCTGTGCTGCTGCACACTTCAGATCAACAAACACCAGGTCCAGCCGCGCACCTGCCAAGAAAGGAGCTAAGGGGGTATAAAGGGGTTGCACAGGGCGATAAAGGGGATCATTTAATGTGATGTCGGGACATGTAGGGCTTCTATAAAATGTTGTGTAGGTTTTTCTGAGGTCTCAGGCAGTTCTTTTGTCTGGCTGTAGCTGCGCCATCTCAAGTTTAAATCCTGGCAGGAGGTCTTGACCCTCCGGCGCTGCCCTGAAGATACAGGGCCAGCACAAGCCAGAGGCGTGCTGCCCATTGGCATGGTTTCCCAGAAAGGCAACAAGATGCAGCCCAACCAAGACTCTGCGTTCTACTTCCAATTCGTGGATTCCGACGGTTCACCTGTCTGGTGTGCTTGCGTCCTAGATGGCCATGGACCTCTGGGGCACGAGATGTCCACCTTGGGCATGCAATGGCTCCCGTTGTTGATCCTGAGGGAGCCCTTGCTGGCCACGGACGCTGGGCGCTTGATCCCTTCTGACCCGCAGACCGTTTTCACCGCAATCGAGGCAGCTTTCCAAAAAATTGGACAGCTTATGCAGAAGGCCTCTGAGACCGGCTGGGGACCTCGCGGGTACAGCGGTGCCACCTGCACTCTGGCATTTTGCGCCCATGGCCTGCTGCACACAGCAAACGTCGGCGACTCGCGCATGATTCTGGGCACCATGCCGGTGGCGGCTGCAGCAGGGGAGTCAGCAGAGTCAACGGGCTGCCAAACTGATTGTCGGGTCCTCACCCGTGACCACAAGCCCGAGGACCCGAATGAACGTCTGCGCATCGAGGAGTTGGGCGGAATCGTGGCGCGGCAGAGAGTTTATTTGGACGAGTGGCCGTACGTTGGCTTGAACATGTCGAGGAGCTTGGGCGATGCGAAGCTGCATGCTGTTGGTGTCTCCCACGTACCTGACGTCGCGACCGTATTCCTGGAAAGTGCGGGGCAGTCCCCGCAGGGCGCGGTGAAACAGCAATTTCTGGTTGCTGCTTCCGACGGTGTTTGGGATTTCACTCCCTGCGATGAAGCAGCCGAGCTCGTTGGACGGGAGCTGAGAAAAAGAACAAGGACAAAGGGCATCCTGGATGAGGTTTGTGCAGCCCTGGTCTGTCATGCGCAGGCACAATGGGAGGCCGAGTGTCCAGACCTTGATGATATCACGGTGATAGTGGTATCCATAGAGCCAGGACCTTGCAAATCATGACAAAACAGAACAGCAGACGTTCGCTGGTTGACAAGCTGTCCTCGTCTTGCGGTCACACAGCTACAGCTGTTGAATGAGAAGCATTTTTGCATGGTTGCAATCAGCCTACGCACCGTAGCAGTCATTCGCAGTAGTGGCACAGAAGCCCCCTCATACCACTGCCAGTGTACACGGATTGTTCATCATGCCGAGCAAGGAACGTACATCTCTCGTGATTGCACTATTTGGACAGTTGAATTGTCAAGGCTGACTACGCTAAATGGCACCGCTGCCTGGTCAAGCAGCAGCTTGTAGCCCGTGTAGCCTGCCTCCAAGCTGACGTATTCAGTCTTGGGTTCTCAATTAAAAGTAAAAGGGTTGCATCTAGCAGCGCAAGTTGATCTGGCAAGTGCAGTGTAAGGCAGCACTCTTGATGCAAACATGGAACCAGAATAAGGGCATGAATATTTTTGAAAGACCTTCACAGTCCATCAAACCCAGATGGACAAAGGGAACGTCTCCGAGCGCTGCTAGCTAGGCAAACAGCTGAGCTCGGCACAAGACCAGCCTAGATGAAGGATGGGGAGACGCAGAAGGCGGTTGCCGGCTCCGTTCACCCTTCGCCAGAGAGGCTCTGGGTTGGACCCGAACTAAGCGAGTGTGAGCTTGGCGAGAAGGGTGTCGTACACACTTTGACGGTGCGATCTTCTGCACAGCCCAGCGCGATTGTGGAGCTCACGCCTGGGAACCAGAGGCTTTGGGTAAGGCTGCCTCCGCACACACAATGGGAGCAAGGCAGTGCGTTGACTGCTTGGTACGAGGTGGGCGATCAGGTCCTGTATCCAGGCCTAAGAGTGGAGCCACGGCCTCCGCAATTCTTTACCTGCTCCTGCATGGGCCGGGGCGCCTTAGTTTTCTTTGTGCTGACGCTGTGTACATGTTTGTGTGTGCTGCCCTACGTGGTGCTGCCGCCGCTTGGCCTGGCACTGCTCAGCCTGGCGCCGGTGCTTGTTTTTGGATCCTTCGTGCAATTCTATTTCCAAGTCTCTGTGAAAGTGTTGCAGATGGTGATCTCCTTCTTTGAGGCAATCGCATGGTTTTTCCCACTTGCCGTTTGCATCTTGATTATATATTTCCCACTTGGTTGGCAAGATTGGGTGAGCAATTGTCAAGACACGTCTGCCGCAGAGGAGGTTAATGTAGACTGCTTGGGCAAGAGAGCGATACAAGCTTACCTTATGACGGCCTTTCTGGAGGAGCTTCTGAAGTATGTGTGTGTTCGCCGCATACTCTGGTTCCCATTTGTTGCAGACCCCTGGGCCTTGTGCTGCTACGGTGGCTGTGCCGGCTTGGGCTTTGCGGCACTTGAGAATGCCCTGTATGTGGGCACTGGCAGCTTGTTTACAGCTCTTCTACGAGCTGGCACAGCCGTTCCAAACCACTTGATGTACGGGCTGCTGCATGGCGCCTTCCTTGCAGAGCAGCGCTTCTCCTTGCGACCGTGTAGGGCATCATTCATGCTAACTCCGCTGCTGCCCATGCTGTTACACGGTAGCCACAACTTCTCAATCGCCGTGCAGCCTGGCTAACATAGACCTGCCCCGTAGGAGCTGCGCAAACGTGGCTAGCCTCAGACCCTTGAGAAGTGCACCGCCTGACAGCAAAGGTGTCAGTACGTCGACCTGTGGGTCGGGCTAGGGGCGATGCTTTCCGTCGCTGTGTGTGCCGTTTGCACTTTGCGCGCCGCGCTTATGCGAATTCAGCTTCCAATGCTCAATGTCCATGAGCTGATCAAATCAGGACCGTTCAGCAGCCGACCAGCTTGTTTTCGGTCCATTCAGCATCCCACGATTCAGGACTTGTCGAGGGCCCTTATTGCTGCTGTTGCTGCCAAGGCCAGATTGAAATATCAAGCAACGTGCAACTTCAGTATCTTCAGTACTTGGTGCATCTTGTGCCAAATGCTGCGATGAGAGGCTTCTGTGGCTGGGCATCGAAGACGACCCCGCCCTACTTGATACCTGTGCATTCGCAAGCTGGAGGAGTTGTCGAGCCTCTGGTAGGAGAGGCCACCCAGATCCGAGGAGCGTAGTGCGCAGTGTGCTACCATCTGATGATCTCCCGTGTTTTGACAGGCCAAATCTGCAAACTTTTGGGGGGTTCGGATAGGTAAGGGCCTCGCCTTCCCACAACTTCGTTTTAAACCGTGGGTGTGCAAAACCGTTGCCGCAACGAAGACATATGTAGTTCTGCAACCGTAATGAGCGGCTTCCACCTTGACATGCGTTGCTGTGACAAACTGGGCGAGGAGTTGGCACCGGCACATTTGAAGCAGCGGCGTTCGAGCCCTCCCTGTTAGCCAGCCTCCAGTGCACATGCACATCGGGCAAGTGGTATTTCGAGACCGTCTTTGGACCAATGGCTGGGAGCTGTCGAACAGGCAGAAAACGAGCAGTATAAGACTTTAAATGCTTCAGGCAAATAGTGTGGCCCTACACCAACTCTGCTGACTCTGCTTCTTCCCCGAAACAAGGTGTTGTTCAATCTGGGTCACAGATGTTCTCCGCACAGCTTGGAGGCCATGCTTCGCTCACGCTTATGTGGTGATGCATGACTTGCTGAGCGGATGCAGCTCAGAGGTGACACAGAAAGCTGGGGCTTCGGACCAGAAGGCCTGTGGCATGCAGGCGAGCTGGTGCAGCCGAGGACCTGCATCCGCTGGGCACTCTTCGGTGCCTTGACCTGTTCCCGCGCAGGACTGGGCCAGGACCTGCAGTTCTCGGAGCATTGCTGAACTTGGACGTGGCTTGGAGATCTAGAGAATCTAGAGATATTTGGAGCCACTGCCAAACCACTTTCATGCCCTTAGAGATCATAAGAGCTATCATAGCTATCAGACTTGCAGTGCACAAGGCAGACAACTCTTGTTTCTCGGCTGAGGATGGGTGGCTCAAGTTCGTGGTTGATGGAGCTGGCGCAGAGCAAGCTGCTATCGACACTCAGAGAGGATGGCTGCCTGCATGGAGCTTCACAGGCACGGTGGGAATCCGATTGGACGGGCGTTTCGCTTACGATCCACCTCCAGGGTTCTTGCCAATTCGCAGAGCAGCCTTCCGGGAGTCACCTCAGGTGGTTGCAAATGTTGTGGGAATCCTCTTGTCTGACAGCCAAAGCGAGCTGTGACTAGAGCCCTCTATGCGTCTCACCATGCTTCAGGATGTTTCGCTGTTTCACTGTTTCACTAGAAGAAGGCGAGCCAAACAACAGGCAAGCCAGGTCGAGCCTCGTGCTGCGTGCTAACAACGTGACAACAATGTCAATGTGCTTTATCCTCAGCCCTGCTTGTCCGCTCATGAATCTGCGTTGCGATGGAGACTTGTGCCTCCGGATTCCGGATCCTGCCAGCCTCCGGCTTCAGGCATCACATAGGCAGACTTGCCGCCCACGCTTTTCCTCGTCTTGGCGAGCGAGCTCGACCAAGCGCGTGGAAGGGAGCTGGCTGTCTGTAAGTTGCTTTCAGTCCAACAGGGTCCGACATTGAGTTCAGTTTGCGGTTTCAAAGATAAGGAACCATTTCAAGTCATCCCACACGCAAGCACTAGTAACTAGTAGAAGCGATTCCTTTCCTAGCCAGAGCCGATCGTGTCACCCCCGCGCTTCAGCTTTCGCAAGCAATGGCAACAAGTGTCATCATCAGAGACGTTGAGGGATATGTGGCGCCAGCTGCATCAGCGGCCCCACGAGACCAGTCGATGAATTCTTCTGGCGAGTATTACATGCTGCTTTCTAGCGGCGAGCATGAGCAGAAGAACACACCTGCAAGTGGGCCCACCTTAGAGGACAAGCTAGTCACTTGGCTGCAGGTGTGGCAGTGCAGCGAATTTGGCTGATGAATCTGATGATCTGCATATGTGCGAAATCTGAGGCAGCCTACAAGGCAACGTCGGATTCAGTGGACATGCTTTTTGAAATTGGCTTGGGGAGGGCTTTAGGTGCGCCACAACAAACCCAGAAGTGCAAGACGTGTTGCATGTTGCAGGCCCGCAAAGCGACTTGACAGCATGGTTAGTCCAAATGGAACTGGAGGTTTTGCACATGGGCAAGCACAGATGCTTTGCTTTCCGGTTGGCCAAGGAGAGGTTAAAGCAGCAAAAGCAGCAAAAGGCCTCCAGGGCAACCGAGAAGAGACAAATGTTTGATCGCGAGCGCCGGGGCGGCAATTGTGACCAGCTAACACACCCATCACCACACCTGTGATTCCTGCTCTGTTGCTTTGTGTCTCAGATTGGGTGAAGGCCTCGTAATGCCAAACAATTTTTGGTACCAGACGCATTTTTGCGTTTTTGTACGGCGTGTGCCTGTTGTACTTGCTGGCTATGGACCATGGGGATCCTTAAACGAAGTCTGGCGAAGTGCTTGACCCTAGGATGGGAAAGACCTATACCGAGCAGCAGGCTATTGAGGAGCTCTTGCATGATTCTCCAACGAAGGAGCGGGAGGGGGGGGGGTCAGTGAGACACGGTGCGCAAGCAGATAAGTTGCCTTCATGTGTTGTTTGTGAACCAGTGCAATTGTGATTTCGCCTCTGCTTCTGCATGTATGGTCTCTGTAAGGGTGGCCATGTCTCAGGCTTTCGCCAGAACTGCAGACGCTGGGCATTCAGCTGCTCGACACATGTTGTTGTTTTTCGAGGGTTAGATCGTGTGGCTATGGGCCCAGTAAATGGGAATAGGGACAAATTGGAGGTGTTGTGGTGGGCTCGTCGTTAGAGCGCAAAACCCTGGCTTCCAGCCTTCCACTTGAGAACAGTTACCTGTCTGGGCCTGATGCTCAAGGCCTTCCCCACCCTTGTCCTGTTAAAAGCATCAAGAAATCAAGGGAAACAAGAGCAGGGGGGAGGCTTTCGCGTTCTGATCTTGTTTCAAGACATTTCTCTCCTGCGGACCGGGCGCAGCCATGAGAACTTTTGGCATGCCCCTTTGAGCATGTCTAGGCATCCTTTTTGACCTTCTTTCCCTCGCTCAATGGATGCGCACTAGCTTGAGAACAGAACAGCTTCTCTTGCCAGAGGAATTTGTATAATTTGTGCAGCTGTTGGCATGATGCTGTCTGAGTACAGAACACTCACCACGTGATCCGGATATCAGAATTCGAACAAGGGAATGATTGTCGTCTAAGAACGATTGCCGTCTACCCTGGTACATGAGGACACAAGCTGGGGTCCTGCTGTGGAGCGTCCTGCCTGAATATTGGCTCCTGTCCACCTTCAAGAACCATTTGGAGCACGTGCGCAGAAAAGGGGTGCATGCGTGTAGATGAAGTGGGACCCAGGCGCTACCTGTCAAGTACCTCAGAGAGCTCTCAAACTTCCGCAGCGTCAGTGAACTCTGGGCGGATAGTTCATGAGCAGGCCACAGCCTCCATGCAGTGGATCAACAGATCTTGGCTTCAGCTGAGAGGTGCCTTAAGTGCCTTGCAGGTAGCCAGGGTCTACTCCGGTCGCAAGTCCGCAGCTGAGAACTCTTTGATCAAATCAAGGCAAGTGTTGCACCCCGCATTCGGTGACTGATGAGCACTGTTGTTGGCATTCGTTGGCGTGGATGCTAGTGTTGTGAAGCGCCTTACAGCTACCATTGGGAGGCTTTGAAATAGCACATGTTAGGGAAAGAATGCAATGCAAACAACAATACAAAAATGATGGGAATGGAAAAAGAAAACTTTCAAACAAATCAAATAAAAAGGAGAAAACACGCAAATCAACATGCCAAAACATGCAAGCGATGTTGATGGAAGGAGCTGAAAAAAAGGAAACAGTAACGGACAAGCGGAAACGAAAAACGTTGAACAAGGAAACGAAACAGGAACAAAAACAGTTTCCAAACATGAAAAAAGGAAGAAAAGGAAAACGGAATAACATTCGAGAAAATTGGAGAAAACCCTCAATTTTCCCGATGTTTTCGAGTATTCTCCAAATGTACGGGTTTCCTTTTTTTTGCCTTTGTTTCCTGGTTTATTCCTTTTTTCTCCTTTGTTTAAAGCGAAAAAGGTAGAAAACATTGTATAAAAACGTATCCAGGAAGTAGCAAAAAGAAACATGAAAATTCGAGAACATTCGAGAGAACACCCAATTCGTCTGTGTATTCTCGAATTTTCTCCAGTTGTTTTTCATGTTTGGATACTTTTTTTACATATTTCGTGTTTTTTCTCCTTTTTCAAAAAGAAACAGGATAACACGTTTTGATTTTGTTTACCGTTTTAGGTCCTGTTTTCTCATGGTTGTCTACTTTTGGTTCCTTTTTTTTCAGAAAACCGAGAAAAAGAAGCGAGACCAAAATTAAGATACATTTGGAGAAAATTCGGAACATTTATAATTTTCTCCATGTTCCCAATTTTCCCTGACTTTCTTTCTTGCATTTTTGGATACTTTGTTTTACAACTGTTGCGTTTCCTTTTTTTACCCTGTTGTTTTGCCTGTTTTTTCTTTTTGTCATTTCCTTTGTGGCCACGGTTTTGCATTGTGTTTGTTTTTCTTGTTCCTTTTTCGTGCTTCCTGGCTGCTTGCAAATTATTTGAATCTGCTGTAATATTTTCTCAGTTTAATCACTTCAAGGACTTCTAGAGTTAGCTCATAAGCCGCTACACAATGCTAGTGGCCTGAATGCCCGGGCCGTTGCCCCAGAGGTGCCCGCAGTGAGAGTTCTGTATGCTAAAGAGGTTGCTGTGCTGTGGCATAAGGTGCCTGAGGCACCATTGCATCGTACCATGCACCTTCATATCATCTGTCGGCGGAGCTTTGCTGGCCTTTGCGTTGAGGTTAGACGAGGACAGGCAGGTCAATGATGACCATTGCCACTGGGCTTCTAGGATTTCTCTTGTGATAGGGAGTCGGTAAGTCTCATGCTCCTCAGCGCCAATCTTTGAACATGGCCACGCAAACGTGCATTGCAAGTTCTGCCTTGTCTTCTTATTGCATACGCTGTCCACCTACCGCATGTGCCCCTTTTTCTACGTTGTGAATATGTTGCATGACACCAAGGGCAGACTCATGGGCCGCAAGCATCCGCCAACCATCGTATTCTGAGGTGAGCTATAATCTAAACTCCTAGTATCCCCCTTAATATCCCCTACAGTAGTTCCCTATATAATCCCCTGAATAAACCCCCCTTTAAGGACTTTAGACGATGGCTCAGGTGAAGAGCCACAAGTCCGCCGCATGTGGTCGCTTGATGATGCAGCGAGCCAGCAGCGGCCGCCACTGCAGCAGCGCCTGGGGCGGCAAAGAACCTCACAGCATTGAAGCACTCAGATGCAAGGGCAGCTCCGTGAAAGACCTCTATGAAAACTAATTATAATCAACTGTAATATACTAGAAATACTATACTTATCTATGATATCCACAATATACTGTAATGTACTGTAATTTACTGTAATATACCATAATCTATTATGACATATATTATAACATACTAGAATGCAAGTTTCATGTGTGCACCTTTCCTCAATTCTCTCAGGCCTCAGGGCAGGTCGCGCTTGCTTGTCAGCTTGTAGCAGTGAGTGAGCCATCCTTTCCCATTTGATGGGATACAAGACTCTGGGAGGGTCGCATGCTAGTAGCTGCTAGCTGATATCAGCACATGACTCCTTGTTGCACCCTTCCAGAGTAGCATGCCAATTTGTCGGCACTCAGGGTCTGCCACTTGGTGAGCTGATGCCCCGTGCAGCAGCTGGCAATGCTCTCAACACTTGCGAACGCTGTAGAATTGGCATTAGGACAGCTCACCATCGTGCTTGGACCGGAGGAAGCTGCCACGTAAAGACAACACTCCCTTTTGAAGGATTATGTGCCAGTAGCTTGCCTTTCGTGACGTGGAGTTCCGTTACGGAGCCACGTCAGCTCGTAGAGCAAGCCGTATGCGTCCTCACAGTCTGCTGTGCGAAGAATCATAATTCTCACAGTTCTTGCTTCTTGTTGCCTGCACGATGTCTGCTTGCCAGCTGAACTGCGAGCAGCCAACGTACAGACAGCTGATACTGGAGGTCGGCTTACGGCAATTGCTCATTTCGAGAGGAAGGTCTAATCAAATACACATACTTCACCGTTCTTTCAGCCTGGAAATCAAGTTCCTGATAGACTTTGCCGTTTTGAGTCATTACTTTTGGTATGTCAAAAGGCTGGTCTGATAGCTGCCCGTGCTTTCACAAGCTGCTCAAGACAAGGAGGCAATCATGGAAACCTCGTAGCTATGGCATGCTACAAGGTTCTGCTCATGCACCCATGATTCATGCAGAAACTGTCAGTAACCCTGTGGCCCCAACGTGGAAGCTTCATGGCTGAATCTGATGCCGAGAGCAATGCGGACGCGAAGGTGCAGAAGAGGGTTGGTCAGTGCCTGAGACTGGGAATATCTGGGAACCTCGAACGTCCCATCCCGCTGCAGGGTTTGAAGGGTAAATGCAATTGCGAGCAGCAAGGAATTTCCGAAGTGACCGAAACCTGCATTTCGGCGGAAAGCGTTCTGGTCTTCAAAGAACAACTGGAGCAGGCCGCTGGTCTTCGGTTTGCTTCAGCTTTACTTCGGAAAAGGTGCTATTCTGAAGTTCTGTATTTTCATCTCAGTTGCAGCTGCGCACATGAGACGGAGCGGGCTTCTGTGTGAACTTAGCCTGGCCTCAAAGCAGTCTCAAAGCAAAGGCTCCTCTGACAGGCCACCCCGTGAACTTTGCTGCTCTGTTTTCAATCTCACAGCAGCTAGCGCAACTTACACAACGTTGAAGACCTTTGCCGTCAAGTCGTGGGCAGATGGAAAGCAAGGGGAAGAGTCCCGAGCGTGCTGTAGCAGCCTACCTCAAGACATTTCTGCATGGATTGCCCTGCCGCAAGAACGGAAATAGTGTGTTCCATAAAAGCCCGTGGTCAACCGCATCGACGCAGTATCAGCACAGCGGAGAAACACAGCGTTGGAGGTGCAAAGCCGCTGCTCTGAGCTCCAGCAGGAGCTCTCATGCCTCGCAGACAGACACTCGGAGGAGCCAAAATTTGGAACACCCGCATGGATAAGAATCACTTGTCCATCTTGCCCCGGCGTGAAGCGATGATTGTGTAGGAGTTGGAGCTGGAGGTTTCACGCAGGTTGGCGAACGAGCTGGCGGGGACCCTGGAAGGGACAGGGATATCCGGGGGAGCCGGCCTTTTTGCACCGTCCATTTTGTTTAGCACACAAAGCAGTCCTCTCTTACTGTTGTCGTAGCGCCTTCTGAAACGAGTCATGGCTTTCTGCCGTTCAGCGTGTCAGGCCAAGATGAGATGCATCAAGAAAAAGAGAAGCAAGGGCAAGAAGCTCAAGCCTTCAAGCACTGCGGCAGCGGTGGAAGAACTTCAGCCTGAGCCAGACACCTGCCCGCCTTCAGAAGCCAATCTTGGGCAATTCTGTGAAAACTGTAAATCTTCGGGAGTTGCACTTCTGCCTGTCAAGCATTCTTAAGTGCAAACCCAGGAGGTGTCCAGCCCTTTGCGGTCCGTCTCGCGCCAACTTGACTTCGACGCACTTGAAGGTCAAGAAGTCTGGCGAACCACGACTCAAGGTGGGCACCTTACACGCTCAACGCAGCATGACGATGATCCCTGCTGCCCTGCTAACAGCGCCACTCAAAAGGGGGGCAGATATTCAAGGCCTAATCACGTCGGCCTTCTCGCGGAAGTCCACCCTGGCCGTGGTCTCAACCCAGACCCGCAAGACTGCGGACTCCCTCCGAACCAAGAGCCGCGCTTTGGGTGAGATGGTAAAATCAAGTTAAGTAGAATGCTTGGATATCAGCATCCGTCCTAGCATCAGTGAGTTTACTTTACTGTCTCAGATGCGCGGCTCGTTCTCAGCTACCGAGGCGCAATGACCACTGGTGACGAGGATGCGGTGATGGCAGTCCTCACATCTCACAAGCATCAGGGCAGTCTGGAGCAACGGATGGAACAGGCCAAGGTGAAGTTGGAAACTTACCGAGAGTCCTCCTTGCTCAAGAAGATGGCGCAGTTCTTGAAGGCCTTGGAGCCTAGGGTACACCAAGAGGGTTCCATTCATCTCGCCTTGCTTCATCGGAAGGTGGCTTTGGGAAGGACGTCTGGGGACGAGACAGCCGAGGGAAAGGGCACCTCACCGTTCGAGGTGCGATGGCTACTCTGCGGCATATAGCATCCCCAATTCTTTTGAGTGTATCTGGAGCTGTGCTGCGCGCCATTGCGCGCTGGCGCAAATTTCACACGCCGCAGTCACGGACCAAGGTTAGTCTTTGAAGCAGCTGCTGCATTCATGATCATTGTCCAAGCCCCGGGTAGCCTATTCTGCAAGAGGCTGAGCATCTTCAACTTGTGCTGGCATCAGGCCAACTCGATCATGCTGGGTTGGGAAGTCCAGTTCATGTCCAGCAACCTGGAAATCTCGGCAATGCTGACGACTTGCAGCATTGTGTTTGCAGTGTGGTTTGTTCTGGAGGTGCTCGTGCGACTTCGAGTTATAGGATTTTGCCCGTTCTTCTGTAATGATGACAATGTTTGGAACATGTGTGACCTTGGATTGGTCGGCGTCAGCATTGTCGAGCTGTCCTTGATCTTTGCGGGCAATGCCAAGACGGGCCTGTCCACAATCAAGGCACTGGCCAGTCCATGCATCTTCAAGGGCATACTAAAGTATATTCTAATGTAATATGGTAATACTGTATTATATTACAATATGTTATAGTATATTATGAGATAATAATATAATATGAATTCCCAAATCCTACCGTACAGACCCATCCGCTCCCCTCAAGGCAGTGAAGATTTTGCGGGTCGTCCGGCTGTTCCGGGTGTTTCGGTTCTTCCGCCAACTGTCTACCCTAGCGCTGATGGTGGCAGACTCCGTCAAGCAGCTGCTTTGGGCTCTTGTCATGTTTTTGCTGATCATGCACCCGGGCTAGATGTTCGCATTTCATGAAGTCAAGGCTTGGTCTGCCTCAGCATTGAGGATCCACGAACTAGGAAAGACTAGAAGGTTTGTGCTGCGGTGATCTGTAGGCAAGCTTTGTGGTTTCTTGGGCTCAGGTATGTTTTTGCGATAACCCTGACCAGCCTCTGCTCCGACTGGCTCAAGGAGCAGGTTGACTTCCATGTGCCTGGCTGGGAGCAGAGGATACTGGCTGGGACGCAGGGAACAGGTGGGCAGGGGCTGGTAGCCGTACGTGGTTTGTAAACCCTGTAAGCTGTTAACCCTGAGATTTATGTAGTTTGCTGTAGCTTGCTGTCATTGGTTCCTCTGGTTCTGGATGATGAAGCAGCGCATTGAGCATGCGGGTGGCGCTTGCTGAGTGCAGGCGTCAAAGAAGTGCATCACTACTTCGGCAACATCCCACGCAGCGTTTACACGTTGTTTCAGACCACGTTGGGCGGAGTCAGCTGGTACGAGGTTACGGACGCTCTGGCACACGTTGATGTGACACTTGGTGCCATTCAGAAAAGTTGGTCCTGACTCAAACAACGTGTACAAAACACATCCTTACAGCTGAAAACTTCGAGCAAATTTTGGTTGTCCTTCGGGATCTTTGCTTTCCCCTGTTATTTTGTAGAAAGCTGTAGAAAGCCATAATAGTGAATGACTTTCAAAGGGCTTAAAGAACAACCCAGAAATAGACAGACATGCACACAAAAAGCGCCATCCGTCTGTGCTAAGGTTATCGTTCAGCTTGATGTTCGCTTACATTATTTTTACTATCCTGGCATTGATGAATGTGTTCACAGGCCCAGAGCTCACCATGCATCTGCGAGTCTGCTTTTGTATCTTCAGGTAACGAGGCAGATCAATAGGAACAAGTCGCGCAGTCGCCGAGACCGAGCGACCGTTTAGATTCTCTCCTGGGTGTTTCCTAAAATATCTAAAATTAGGGGTACCATGTTCAATGGGATCCCCTATTTTGGGAAACTACCTCTTCTAGAGTTTTTGGAAGGCAAGAGTCGAGAGACACGAATTGTGACAGGCTCCTGCTGTCTTCACTCATGACCACAGTAGAAAGGCAGAAAGGCAGGCTTAGTTTTGAGAGTTTAGTTTGGCAGTTCCCAGCAGGTGCCCTGCAGACTGGATGCCAAAGGAAGGGGCACAAAGTTAACTGGCAAGGAGAAACTCAACGTTCAGAACTTCGATGCATTGCTTTCGGGTTGCAAATCCCAGCACAAATTGCAAGCACACACCAAAGTGTTGCGCGAGGTGTGGGCTGATCATTATTTTGTTTGCTGCGCCAACTGACCGTCGAACAAGTTGTCAGGCGTATTTGTGGACAATGCCGTCCAGAACTCAAAGAAGCAGCGCAAGATTCAAATCGTGGCTTGCTCTGCACGTGTCGGGTAATCAGCAACTGCCATGGCTTGCTCACTGCTTGTCAAACAACATCCGGCACTTGGCATGTACCTGGCAACGCCATCACATGAGCAAGGAAGAGACCATTGACAAGAAGCGGACCAGTTTGGACCAGATGGTTGAGTTCTTTGTTGCGACAGATTTAAATGGTGAGCACCTCAGGCATACAACAGACTGGTGGATGCTTTCTGCATCATTTGGCTAAAGAGATAAATGTAGATTAATGATTATCTATACATGTATATACACATGCACATTTTGCAACGTATATAGGTATACATATATATATACACATATTTAGTACTAGACGTATACACTATATCTGTATACCAGGTGATGGAGCTATCAGCTTGGATGAGATCCAGTTCCTTCTGCAGGATCCCGTAATGAGCGCAACTTGGCAGATTTGCCCATGTGAGCCTCTAAGGGTTTAACGTCTAGGCGCGCCTTGACAGTTGAGGCCTACTTCGACATGATCGGGTTCCGGCCGGGAGATGCTGCACTTCTAGCAGAACTGCTAGATCGTGATGGCTCTGGTGACATAACGATCACCGAATTTATAGCGGGCTGCGAACGGATGAGGGGCGAGGCAAAGGGCATTGATGTGCACATGCTGCTCCTGGAGTGTTCAGTTCTCAATGAGAAACTGGATGCCTTACATGAGAATCTTACTGGGCAGCGGTTCTCTGGGGTCAGAAATGGCTCAGTTTTTGGCGAACTCAAAAAGAGGTCGTTTTGTTCATAGAGATCGTCGTTTTCCCTGTTCCACCCAAAGAAATGGCTGAACATTGCGCGATCCATCTTGCTAGCGCATGTCTCAGGCTGTGCCCAGCGCCCCCTCAGGGCAGCGAGCAAACAGCATGAGCGTGGCTGCGTCATGCAGCATTTTCATCGCTGCACTACGCTCGCAGATATGAGCGTATTTGCAATCAGATGATGAAGTGTGGACCCAAAGGGTCATGCACTTCATTCCTTCGCAACTTGGAGCCCTGTCAATGTTTAGCTTAGTCAGTACCAAGATTTTGTGCTACATCCTTTCTCCTTGGCTGTTTTTTGAGGCATGCTCCTCTCGCATCCCCGATGCTCCAAATCACTTGAGCATCAAGATGCTCATAGTCGCAGCTAATGTTGATGGGATGCCCTGTACCCACTCATCGGCGCAGGCCTTTCAGTGGTCTGGCAGTGTTGGAGGCATCCGATAATGCATCACCGGGAGAGTCATGTCTCGGTGAAAATCCTGGCTTCTGCGTTTGAGCCTTCCACAAGCCCCCGCAGCCTAAGAGCAAGTGTCAACGTCATTGGATTTTGCATAGAACAGCAAGCGATGCGCAAGAGGAGTGGAAAGAACACGCATCCCGAGGTGTTGTCGGAGCATTCCCATGACGTAGCTCATTGTACGTGTAGCCTAACTAGGAAAACTGATGTCCTGGTGACTTGGCGCTGAAAGGGTTCGGGCCTCCCAAGCCACAGAAAGGCAGGCGAAGGTTCCATGCCCCCCGAAGCATGTAGGATGTATTCAGGTTTCCAGCAAAGTCACATCAGAGTGCCAGAGTGCAATGCCATGGCGAGCCTCCAGGCTGAAGTCTCTGAAGTCTCGAGGGTCTTTGGCTTCCTTGGCTTTGATCCTTTGGGGTTGCTATAAGCTCCCAGCCTTTGCCTCCGCCGCTTTGCCAAAGCTCCCATCACCGCAGCGCACAAGCCGGCCAGCACGTGCAGAAGCGCAAGAAGTGATGAAGGAAACGCTGGCTGATCTACCTGAAGCAGTGCTTCTGTCGGAGAACTCCACTGCTGCAACTGAAAACGTTCAAGAAAGCACCGCAGACTTCTGGCGGTTAAGTGACAGTGAGAGCAGCATTGGTGGTCGAAGGACGACAGTAAGCAGATCAGTCGCCGTTCTCCTCCTGGGCATGGTCACTGTGTTGTGGGGCTCTCAGCATTCTATCATCAAGTATACCTTGCAGCAGGGTGCCAATGATAGCCTCCAAGCAGCATGCCTGAACCTCGTCCGCTTTGGCTTGGCTGGGCTTTGCTTTTCGCCTTGGCTGCCCGTCGTCCAGCCTGAGCGTCAGGGCGTACGGGCCCGGCTTGAGTGGCGAGCTGGGGCAGAGTTGGGCTTTTGGCTTTTTCTGGGCTTTTGTTTGCAAGCTGCTGGTCTTTTATATACCACAGCTCAGCGTAGCGGACTTTTGCTTTACCTGAACGTGAAGCTAGTTCCTTTCTTTGCTTGGTCCATTTTCGGGCGAGCTGTTCCACTGTCCGCCTGGCTTTCCGCGCTGGCAGCTTTCCTGGGAACCTTGTTGGTGGCTATGGATGACGCCGCAGGAGTGGATCCAAATATCGGGGACCTGCTCAGCTTGCTTGCAGCTGCAGCTTCCGCATCTCAGCTCACAGTTGTACATCCAGAAAGTTAATGCGGGAGAACGTATCTGAAGGGGAGCATCAGTCTGCAATATCTGTGCTTGGGATCAGCCAGGCGATGTTCATCCTGCGCCTGGAAACATTTGCCCCCGTGACGGACGACAAGGCCATCAACGCTGTAAGCACCCTCTCCGCGCAGACCTTAGAAGTGTAGATTCTAGATCGCACAATCGACTTCAAGTGCTTTGGATCTGTAAGACTTTGAGTGAGACTTGGCGCCTCAAAGGTAGCATTGCTTTGCATACCATGGGCGCTGCTGGTAGCGTGTGCGAACGCGCCCGTGGAGGCCAAAGTTTCAGATGGCTTTGATTGTTCGATTGTCGATGATGACCATGGTGCTGCAGGTAAGGAAACACCCAAGCTACTCCGAATCACCAAGCCTTGCCCGAGCTTCACAACTTCACAATAGTTTCCACTGATTTGCTGGATCTTTTTGTTTGGAAGGTGCTGAACGGCCCCGTGGAAGACTTGGCGGCCTCATCCTTGGCAAGCGTGGCAGCACGCTGTGTGGAATTGGTTCGCGACCAGCCGCCGCTCGCATTAGCCTGAGGCATTTTCAGTATGGGCTGAGAACCTAAAGTTTTGAAGAATCTCAAAGTATGATCTGTTGTAATATTGGATGTCCGCTTATTGCCAGTAAGGCTTTATTGGCTCGGTGTAAGTGATGTGAGTTAAGACCGGCAGAGGGGCATTGTCGTCTTCGTCGTTGACATCCGTAAGAGTACGCGGCCAACGTCCTCTTGCCTAAGGTAGCAGAGCTTCAACCCTTTCTGAGATGATTGCTGTCGACATCTAAGGCTCTGCGTGCTCTACCTCGGCGTGCTAACCACCGCTTTCACAAACTGGTTGCAGACCATTGGTCAGCAAAGTGTGCCAGCCACCACCGCCTCCGCCATTTACGCTCTTGATCCGCAGCCTGGCTAAGAAGTTGAAGTCGCCACAGCTGAGAGGGGTAGGGATGCATGGTGGTAGTGCAGAATCGAAAGGCCAAGAATCTGGAAAACGAAAAGGGAAGCACTATGGCTTCAAAGTGGGATGGTTGCATCGGTCAAGGCTTTGGGGCGCCTTCTTCGCATACCTCTTCCTCGGCGAAGCTCTTGGGGCACAGGCCAATCTCTTGGGGACCAGAGTTGCCAGTGCGGTGAGAACATTCGTTTGCTCTGAAGGGTCTTCTTGGATGCCTGCTGCTCTTTGCAGTGTGGCTTTATCAGCTGGCTCCCTGGATAGCACTTGGAGAACTTAGGGTGTCACTGAATGGAACATTTGTGCTGGCCAGGCTTCAACACAGCTCACAGAAGAACCCAAGTCATCTGATCCCAAAGCATAGACTGAATTTACCATTTGCAAGCTTATGCCTGGAAAAATGAAGTGAACTCGGGTCTCCAGCACCGCTTACAAGTGCAGACCTTTCGCTCGAAGATCAGGCCTCTGACAGCTAGTGTTTGCTTTCGCCTCAGCTTCAATGTGAAGGCGTCTAAGCTTCGAGTTTGGAGCGAAACCCAACCCGGAATGCTCGCTTCACATTTGGCTCCAGGATGTTTTTTTTAGGTAGTGGCTGGGCAGCCTGTGAGACCACGGCCTCGGGCTGAGCTGCGCTAGCGCCCTAAAGGGAGGTAGTAGTACAAGACTGCAGCCATTCTGACTGAAGGTTGCTCACAACAAGAGAATGAAGGCTCTACAACTCCAAGACGAGAGGGCGCAAGGCTGGATGCATCAGCTGCTTCTGTCCATACGGTGAGCATGGCCTGCGATGGCATCATTGCACAAAATGAGCACGGAGACATGAGCGCGAGCTTCTATCAGCTTGGAAAATGATCATGTGCAATGATCCCAACCGTAGACACTTGCTTTCAAGCCTCACAAAATTCTGGAGCCTGCGCTCTAGCCAGATGCCACGTAGCGGGAGAAACCAGCTCGAAACCTAGGTGCCAACTTGCAAGGCTCCATCACGCGAAAGCCCAACTCAAGAACCAGATGCCCAAAGCTACATGTTTGTCAAGATCTGTGTCATCATGTTGAGGAATATGTGTCAGTTGGCCCGCTATGTTTGTTGTGCATCATGAGAACATATAGGTTCTATGTCTTGAGCTTGTGGCCAGCGTTTAGTAGCTACTTCCACATGCTTTGTTCTTGGAATCTGTTTGTTTTCTCTCTAGAAGCATTACTAGCTACAGAGCTATCCAAGGACTTCTCAAGATTTTGCAGAATGATACGCACTGCAAAAAAGCGTTTAGCACGTCGCACATAATGAATGCGAAGAACGTATACTCGCACGCGTTTTCAGCATATACGTCAAACACAACGATGAACTGTTTGAACAGTAACGCTGTTTCCGCTTTGTGCTTGCCCAGCCCACAACTCGAGCTGGATCCGCTTGACATACTTCAGTCGCTTCTGCCTTCATTCATGGTCGTCTTGAGGCCGTTTGCACTTTTCATACTTGCATGTATTGCCCTCTTATGAACGGTCTTCTTGCATGTAGAAGCCTCGACCGACAAACATGACATCATGCCAACTTACTGCAATCGTTACACACTGACCACTTCGGACCGGCTGTACGCGGCGGCGCCAAGCCTTAACACAAATAACTATTATCCAAGCTTTCGCGTGCTTCCTCAACATCTTGAGGCATACAGTACTGTACTTGAAAATGAGAGGCGTTCGCTTGGGTGATGGCTTGGGCAATACCACGATAGACATGCTCAGCACGAACCTGCCGCAGGCCCAATAAGCCGGCAAGTGCGGCGCCGCAGTGGAGCAGCAGGCGGTCGAGCCATCAAGCAGCCTACAGAGTTAGACTGGCCTATCCCTTTGAAAGGAAGGTAATGTTAATTTTGGCTGGGTTGTGAATGTGCTCAGATTGTAAGCAAGTGCGGCTCCCTGCAAGTGGTTTATGTTTATGTGCAGGCACCAGTTCGCCCACACTTAGGTTGTGACATGTCGACTATTGTAGCACTGGAAAGAGACAGCTGGGACGGCAGGACGCCTTTTGGTAGCGGCATGCTGCGCAGCTGACCGGGGCTTACGCAACAGTAGCAGACTTTTCAGAGTTCGGTTGCTTTCATGCCATCCTGCGATACTTGCAGAATCGACCCAACCCGCTGCATAGTCCACCGTTTTAACTTGAAATGTCACTGCATTGAAGAGTGCATACGCACGCTGGCAGTCTGCCCTTGCATTAATGGTTGTTGTCCAACTAGCCTGTGGGTTCCTGGTCCGGTGGTAGTCCTAGCAATTGCACTGCCACTTTGCGGATAGTTCGGAAGCCATATGCGACCAACCTTCTCTTTTGTAGCGCAAGTCACAGCAGTATGAGGGCTCCATGTCTAGCCAGGAGCGGCTTCTGCCAAATATCTTCCTGTTTAGGACGGATAGCTTGGACAGCGATTGGTTCTGACAAGTACTTCATAGCCCGGATGCAAAAAGGACGGATACTCTGTCAAGTCTTATGTGCCGACATCCTGCAGCCATGCGCTGCAGAGTCAAAAGGACCAACTGCAAGCCGAGGTCGTTGCCGTGGCTGTCAACAGCCCTAGTCGTGCTGACAGACGGCGAGCGAGAGAAGCCGCGGAGCTCGAGCTCGAAGATGAAGGAGTTTCTATCTACTTAAGGGGGACTGTATCCCCAATATATACCTTATTATCATATAGTAGTTTCCATTTTTCTTTTCCATTATCCCAATATATAACTCCTATATATCCTTATGTACCCTTACGAATCCTACCATGCCGCCTGGGCAAGTTGAGCTCCCCAGAAATTGTCAGCGATCACTGCTCTTGTTTTTGGATACTTTGGATTGCTATTTCTCATTAAGCGGCAGGAGTCAGTGAGCTGGATGATGAGCAGGAATACCCCTTGGTAGCTGCAGCAGGCCTGAGGGGATGAGTAGCATGTAAAGTCAGAGTGGGCCTTGACTGCACTGGAAGGACATTCAGCAAACAGCCCATCCACACAGGCCTTCCTCTCTTTGGCTCACGCCTTGATTTGAACTTGGGATCGGATCCGCATTGGACTCTACGCAGTCTTGCCAGTGCTTAGGACGAAAAAGATGGCCGATTTTGTGGCAAAGAGGGAGACCTTTGCAAGTGCTTCGGCAAAGTGCGCTACGGCCGTTTGGACCTCAGAGCTGGACAATACTCAGCAGGATGGTTTGAAAGCCTGCGTAAGAACAAACTGCCTTGCTTGCAGGCCTTTTTTCCTGGTCCGGTGACCTTGTGGTCGACGGCAGCGTAAACTGTTCCGCCGCGCTTTTCGGCGATCCGATGCCGCGCATGCCTCAAATTCGAGTATAGTTGCAGGGCAATCCCAGCGACAGCCTTCGAATAAAGTGAGGGGCAGGGTAGCAAGTCGTGGCATGCGCGCTGAGGATGGACCTCAAGATTTGCAAATGCTATCCAACCATGTGCACCACACAAGCCGCTCGGCAACAAGAGAGGACTAGGCAGCGTTTATGTCCGCTTTGGCAGCACCTTGCCGATTCTGATATGGAGCCATTTCTGCCATGCTGCCAGATGGGCATTTGCACTCCAGAGCCCTGTATGTGCCCGACGTCCCCTTCTCAGCATGACTTATCATTTGGGATGTTGCGAATACCTAAAGCAGCAGCAGAAGCCTGGTAGGTCCCGGGACCCTGACTTTGAATGGGGCAAGAAGACGCTCATGACAGGCGACGGCACAAAATGTTACGAGCCAAGACGCACACGCAGTGTTGGGATCATGATGAAAGCTCTTTCCCTTAGCAGTGTGTCAAGGTTGGGCCTGCGAGAAGAAGCGTGCCAGCACCGGAGTCGCAGAGTCTGGCAACTCCACGTACTGCCCCACACAGATTGGTCGGTGCTCTTTGAAGAGGCCGCGACCTACATCCAGCTTGCAAAGCCTGGCTTGCTGTGCTCTCAAGATCTTGCAGGTCATGCAAGTGCGAGGACCCTGCCGACATTAAACGCGTCATGCGGCTTCTTGGCAGAATTGCCTGACAGCCGCTTTGGCGGCCAAAAGGCCAAAGTTGAATTTAAGCTGAGGACGAAAAACGGGGAGAAGTGCTGGACTTGTGCTCCGGTGGGCGAGGGCAGGGCGATGGGCATGGACAGCGGTCCCGGCCCCAGAGGTTCAGTGACCTCAAAGGGGCAGGGAGTCTGACCTGCTCGGGTAGTGATGCCTATGCTGACTTCATTCCACAAGTCTCATTGACGAGGTTAGGGCCGGGTGAGCTGCAAGAGTAGATCAGCATTCCTGCCGTCAATCTTACTTGGGCAGGTCAGCGGGCAATGTTCTGGATGCTGCCGCTGCTGTGGTCATTTATGGATTGGCCAAACTCGTTCTGGCAGGCAAGCTTGCCTCGTGCAGCCTGCTGAAAGTAAAGAGTTTCAGGGAAGATGTGCCGGGACTCATCTTGACGCCTTGCCTGGTGAGGTTTGCAACGGCGATAGGGCTTTGACGATCTTCTCAGCCCTATGCATCGTCGGGTTGGGGCCTCGGTGTCAGGTTCCAGCATGCAGCGCCATGTACGCACTGTAGAAGTTCAGGCGCGTTGGTTTTGCTAGCAACGAGTGGTTGGAGGATGATGTAATTCATTTGCAGGTTACCGTAGCGCGTGATATAGGCTTGACTGCGTCAGGCAGCCCGACCCTTGTTGTGGCGAGGTATCTTCTGCAGGTGTTTGCTCCTTTTCTGCGACTGGACCGATTCTTCTCCTTCTATGCTCCGTGCATGAAGAAGGGGGAGTTCTGGTGCACTGCTCAGGGAGCTGCAGTTTTGAATTGATTTTTGGTTGTGTAAGTGATCAGCTGTGATAGGATAAGCCTTCATGCCGAGGCGCTTCTTCACCTATTTCATGCTTCACAGTGACTTGCAGGCCCTCTTCATTCCTCCCGCTCCCCGCCTCCCTCACTTCCTGTCTCCTAGCTTTCAGTCGCTGGGCTGCGTGCGATTGTTGAAACGGGGCACGTTATGCCTCTGTACCTTTGCCAGCACCTGTGCGTGAACTTGTTCCACCTGATGGACGCTCTGGACCTCGAAGGGGTTCCGCCGGAACTGGAAGTTAGCTCGGGCCCCAGCTTCTTTATGTTTTCGAGATTTTCCCTAAATCAGAACAGTGCGGGTCCCGTTTTTGGCGGATTCATAAGCGTGAGCATTCACATTTTTTCTTCGTGGAAGCAATCTAGCAAGTTTGGATTGATTCGCGACCGGCAGGATCTAAAATGGAATCTCAGAATTCGCGACCCGCAGGATCTAAAATGAAAGTTCAGATGTTGTGAGAAGATCTTAGGTAGAAGTGAGTTTGGATTGGGCCCCGCGCATGAGCACAAAGGGTTCCCAGCTGTTGCAAGGCCCTGGAGTGCCACTGAAGTGCACCCGCGATGGACCGATTGCCTCCATTTGCTACCCCGATGCCGGGAAACCCAGCCGCCCTGAAGAAGTCTTGCTCATGAGATGGGGTTTCCGAGAATGAAAGTTCTTTTTTGGGATGCCCAGCAACAAGGATTATAGAATCTTGGGTTTTTTGGGGGTCCCCCTACTTATGCAAACTACCACTTAAACATCACAGTTAACTGAACCACTTCACGCTTCCCAAGGTTGGGATTGGCTGGAACAATGCGTCCGTCTTACATGCTGTCGTGCTTGAACCTGCCATATTCGTTGGTCTGCAATTCTGCAAAAGCCACAGGTGGTAGGCATCATGGCCACAGTGCTTGCTTTTGGCGCCTTGCCCCGGCCACAGGGTTTCCCATGCGGCAAGAGAGAGCATCCGCAAATGCCAGCGATCTGCAGGATAGGTACCATGAAGAATTTCGGGGCCTTGGTCCAGGGCGTGTTTCTCTCAGAGCATTCATCCAGAGGGGCGGCTTCCAGCAAGCAGTCTGCGTCAACAGTGCTGTTCGATGCACGATGTTTCCTGCTCAGCAGATGCAGTAGCATGTTTGATGTAACATGCTGGAAGCTGAGGCCAGTTCAGTTTGCTTTGGCGTAGACGGTGCGCTGATTGCACTATATGGCGTCTTCCTGGGCGCAGGGCTATGCACTCAGTTCTTCTTCGAGCAGTCGAGCCATAGGAGCCAGTCTGCTCAAAGCAGCTGGAGTAGTATGGAATAGTTCTGGCCAATGGATAGCTAATTCTTTTTAATGCGCGCAACAGACCTTGACATCAGCATCGCCGAGCATAGCTCGGTCAAATCGCCTGAGGCTGGATCAACAGCTGAGGATCCCGGAGTTTGGTGCATTTTTCTGGATGCGCAATCCCAGCTACTATTTGGTATAGTTTCAGTTTCATTCGGAGCATATTTGACCGAGTGGGGTGATAACTGGACGTTAACTCTGGCACGAGCTCTATTCGCCAGGCATCGGGATCATTGCATTTCACATCATCATCGACATTGCCATGTTCTCAGATTGGACAACATTGGGTTTTTCTGTGCAGCCGCATTTCTTTACATCAGAGAGTGCCTAGGCCTAGGCACGTCGGTTTGTTTCCTCCGGGAACTAGATACTTTCCTTCTCAGGATATATTCCAAAAAGGCGAACTAGTGCATTCAGGAGTACAAGCACGGGCATCACACGTCGCCGAGGTGCAGAGCGTTTGCGGATCTGGAAAGGATACGGTGGGCACCGTTGCCCACATGGCATCTCTTGTTGCAGGCGAAGCCATTGCGGACAGCAAACCTGCAGCCACACTTACTTGCAAAAAATTGAGCAAAGGCTTCTGCTACGTCATCTTGTTCCTTCCGCCAATGGGTGATGGAAGTTATTTCGGAAGCGATAGGCCTGGACAGTCATCGTTTAAATGGACTCGAGCCTCGTCGGGCCATGTATGCTATCATGAACCGCAGACCCTATATCGTCAACTGCGGGATGACAAGTCCAAAGTATGTGAGCTTGGATGCTTCTCGGCCGCTGTTGTGACTATGATGACCTGGTCTTTTGATCCTTTGGGCTGTGGTTCTTGTGCACTAGGAAGCGACCACGCAGTGCTTAGCTTTCTTCAGAAGGACCAGTGACTGAATTCCACCCTGCTTTCAGTCCTGTGAGTGTTTGAGAGATGATGGTGGAGGGCTGATGTTGTGATGCTGGCCGTGCCACAGGAGCAATGGAATTGAAATCGGCACCGCGCAAACAATTGCAGGTGCGACTGCGACCCTTGTCCTTCCAAGTGAAATCTCGCGAAATCACACCAAAGGGTCTCTTCGCATCATGCTGTGCGTGAAGACATGCTGCTGGGTTCGTCATCTTCGTAGGTCTACAGCACCCACCCATGTAGTTTATGATCTGGCTGCACTTTCCATCACCAACATGTCCAGAGTCCACTGCCGCAGCCTGGAAGCTGTGTCTAGCATGCTGAGAGTATGCTCCTTTTCCTTCATTTGGCCAGCAGGCGCAGTGCTGATCACTGGTGTTGTGGTTGCTATTGTCAACGCAATCCACAAGCTGCGGGCTCAGATCGCTGCCGTTGCTAGCTCTGAGGCGGGCTGTACAAGACCAGCGCCGCCGCTACAACAATTTTATTGTCATTTGATGCCCTTCTTTCACCTTCCTGGCAGAATCTGCTTTATGGTGCCGAGGCGTGACATCACAGATGATGGAATTGCTGTGTTCTCGTGCGGTGACTCGCAGCCGACAGGGGCCCAGAACTGCCAGGTACTAATGCTAGGCCAGCTAGCAGGGCACATCAAGTCATGTTTTTTTTATTCAGTCGCTTTTGAAAGGTCCTGAGGCCCAAATGGACACAGCAGTGCATGTGGAAATGCCAAGGTCTGAGAAGCAACCTGCTCGTGATGATAAGACGTTGGAGCTGGGATCTCATCACGTCGTATGGCAACAAAAGCATGGCAGAATTGCAACGTGCTCTGTTCTGCACTTGCCAAAGTGACGCTGCCCCTACCACAAGCCTTTCAATCGATGGCCCCCCTTCACCTTTCAGAATGAAAAGCTGGTCCCAGCGCTTTAGGCCCGCAAGAGTTGGAGGTTTGGATGGCAGCTGGTCTACGCTTCAATCCTCAAGTCAACCCGCGAATGTTAGATGCAAAGCTTGGTCCCAGGTGCTAGGCATGATGTTTGATGCCCACTTGCGCCGCGGGCGAAAGGGTGAGCGGGAGAAGACCTACAACATGCAAGCGCGATAAAACTCCCAAGGTGAAAGGCATGTGGCTGGAAAAGGCAAACATCTGAGCATGCGCTCCCACAGCAACAGGCCCAGGTCAATTGAACTGCCAAAGCTCAACGTCGAACAGCGCTGTCACGCCTTTTGCCTATGCATCCTGTGGCTGCTAATGCTGCGACTGCTTTGCGATTTGAGGGTCGCAGTAATGACATGAAGCGATACTCTAAGGTTTGCAAGCCTCCCTGAAAGTCTAGACTTGCCGTGCAGCGCAGATGGTTCTCCAGGTTGGACAGCGAAATCACGGGCAGAGAGAAGGTTCTCAGCGAGGTCAAGGATACAGCCAGGGGCTTAGTGCCAGTGCATCTAGGAGGTGCTTTCCGAAGTCTAGCATTTCGCTGAGTGAAGAGCTGAGATCTGAACGCATGTTTCTCGAACTGTCCGAGCTGGGCACGGGGTCGGCATTAAAGCCAGAAAATCACGACTCATTTTTGCCAGGCATTGCAATTTAGTAGACGCTGGCCCCAGCAGTTCATGATGTCCACGGCATGGCACACAAATGGCGCGATGAACTTCTGCATTGGGGGATTAACCCAAGCTGACGTTTAGCCATCGGAGTCTGAAGCTTTGGCACCTCCAGCCCACCAACCAATCCCAGTGGCGCTGCCACGAAAACCTATGTGGTCTTGTACAATTCTCGCGCACGGAAAGTAATTTTGCATTCGGGATTTTGGACTTTCAGGGCTCCTCGGCGGAGCGGATTCTTTGAGACCTTAAGCTCCTTGCGGCTTGCTGCTCCAGGTTTGATTTCATTCACCCAATTGGAGCCTGCGACTGCAGACGGCCTTCTGAGGTGTCGTTCCTGCAGCGGTTCCACACAAACCTGTCCAAAGTGGTACTGCGACCTCAGGCGCATTGCTCTGGCAGTGACACCTTGCATGAGCCTAGAGCGGCGTGGGGGGGCAGGTTTTTGTTGCCTGGAATGCATGATGTCAAAACAGTGAGCGAGAGCATCTGAGAATTTGCTGACCGCTTTTGGCTCAGCGTTGTCCGCTTTTAGATTTTAGACGATGGCCTATGCACAGGGCTGCCTCTACCTGTCATCGGCAGGGCCCCGTAGTATGCAGAGGGCCAAATGCCCAAGTGTCAAGGTTCAGGCAGGGCTTTGCGAAGAACGACAGACCTTGAAGCATTCATGTTTTTCTGAGAAGCAGCTATCCCCGTCGACGGAGGTGAAGCCATACAGGCCAGAGACCTCCAGCATCGCCTTAGCTAGAGATGAACCAGATCTTCGTGAGAAGGGCGTCATCACCTTGCTGCAGGAGTTTGTGCAGACGTCCAGGAGCCCCCTGGCAAAGCTTTACATCTTGAGGTCCGCGACTTGCATTGAGAGCCGTGGCATGAATTGACACCGAGGTTTCCAAATACCACAGGGCATGCCGGCTCTCCAATGGAGCTACGACGAAAAGAATGTCAGGACTTCAAAAGCTCGGTTCCGGGCTCATGTGGCATTTTTGCTGGACGGAATCCCACACCACATCCTTGGAACGTGGTGCAGCTCCAAAAAGCACACCCAGAGATTGTTGGCCGACAGTTGCTTACACTTCTTCATTGGGGTGTGGAGCTCGCTGCTGCTGGAAGACCGCAGCATACCGACATTTGAGCTCGTCTCGGTACGTACTGATGCCTGTGTAGACATGTTCTTCAGTTGCTTAGCTTCATTCAGACCCCATGGTTTCAAACGTTTCTGGGTGTTTGTCAGCTTTTAGAAGTTTCAAGGCCGATTCTGCCAGAGCTATTACGGTGACGGAGCATCATCTCCAAGCTGGAGCATGCAAGTTGCAGGCCCCACAGACGATTTCAGCAATGTGAGACCAAGAACATAGCCAATTGCTGTTTAAGCCGCAGCTCCAAGGCGAATCTTCGACAGCGGAATACAAAGCTCTCGTGCAGCTGCAATTGCTTGGGGTCCCTCACACTTTCGCAGGACGGCTGTGCAGAAGCTTGCCCGATACAGCGCCGAGTTCTGCATGCAATCCCATTACCATATATAACCCTTACATAGTCATCATATCATATAACCCCTAAACCCACAATCCCTGATCCTACAGTAGTTTCCATTTTATTTTCCATTATCCCAATTTAACCCCTGTTACCCCAATGGGTACCCATATCCCCTAAACCCCTATATCCCTATTATATAATCCCTATATCCCTAGGTAGTCCCCATATCCTACACCCCATATCCCTGATAATCCCTATATAACCCATTGTAGTAGTTTCCATTTTCTTTTCCATTATCCCCTATTAATAACCCCTAAACCCTTATGTAGCCATTATATAACCCCTATATCCCTAGGTACTCCCCATATCCTACCACCCCCTAAAACCCAAAAACGGCTGCCAAGCAAAAGCTGAGGGACGCCCGAGGAGGCAAAGATGGACACCACCAAGCGACTGGGTTGCTGTTAAGGAACTTAATTTAAGTTACTATATTGGGGAAACCCCTTAATAAGCTATATAGGGTTATAGTATTATTTAGGGTTTAGGGATATTATCCCCCAATAATGGAGAATCAAATGGAAAAGAAAATGGAAAATGAAATGGAAGCTGGGGGGATATAGGGATTTAAGGAGCTTAAATTAAGTTACTATATTGGGGAAACTCTAGTATTTACTATATATATATACCCATTATGGTAACTTAATTTAAGTTCCTTAACAGCAACCCAGGCTACGCCTCGAAGCGGTCAAGGCCAGGCCCATAGCCACGACCCCCAAAAGGATCTAAAAGGGTTTAGGGTTTAGG